AATTTGAATGACGCCAATGTTAGATCTCTCTAGGTCAGGGTTGGGGTTTGAAGTTCAGGTTTTAGGGTCAATTTGTGGTAGTGTTAGGGTTTAGGGTTTAGGGTTTAGGGTTTAGGGTTTAGGGTTTAGGGTTTAGGGTTTAGGGTTCAGGGTTCAGGGTTTAGGGTCAATTTCTAGGGGCCAGAGTGGACCCTCATTTATTACTCCTAGGTGAGTCTCGGATCTAGATTTGGCACGCAAGGTCAGGACCACTGGAAGCTCGGCTGCGCAGTTGCGTCCGTCCCCTGAGCCCTAAGCCCTACACCCAAAGCCCTAAACCCTAAACCCTAAACCCTGAACCCTAAACCCTAAACCCTAAACCCTGAACCCTGAACCCTGAACCCTACACCCTTAAACTCGCTTCGGGAGCCGCTGCCTCTTAGCCTGAAGCCAACATACGGAACCTCCAACCCCCCCCAAACCGCTCAGGGCACCCTAAACCCTAAACCCTAAACCCTAAACCCTAAACCCTAAACCCTCAGTGCTGCTTGTAAATTTCAGGGGGGAGAGAGTTGGGGTTTCTGGGGGGCTTCAAGGAGGGTCGTCGGAGGTGTTGGATGGGTTTGAGCTGTGTGGTGAACCCTAAACCCTAAACCCTAAACCCTAAACCCTAACCCCTAAACCCTAAACCCTAAACCGCCCCTGCACGCCCTGAAAGCTATGAGGCTCCGAAACCCTCAGCCAAGGATGGTCTTTGACTTGAAGGATGACTTCTTCATCCTGAGCCTTGTCGGTTTAGGGTTTAGGGTTTAGGGTTAAGGGTTTAGGGTTAAGAGTTTAGGGTTCAGGGTTTAGGGTTTAGGAGGGGCTCATGTGTAGTTACAAGTAGGGTTTTATGTAGGGTAACTATAGTAATAGCTGGTTACATCCTTGTTTGGGGGTGCATGGAACCCTACTTTTCACTGCCCGTGAGTCTTCAAGTAGGCTTTGCGGTTACTTTTCCGCTACCTTGTTCAGAGTCGCTTTGGCCTTTTAAAGAGTCGAGTTGCGATTCTAACCCCTAAACACTATACCCTAAACCCTAAACCCTAAACCCTTTAACCCTAAACCCCAAACTCCAAACCCTAAAGCAGCAAAAGGAGCCCAAGAGCAGCTCAGGAACAAACTGAACCTCCTCAACTACCAGGATGTCTTCGGAGTGAAGAAGGCCGGCCCTAGTCGGGGCTTAGGGTACCCCTCTTGAGGACAGTTAGTATATAGAAGGGGGAGGGTTTAGGGTTTAGGGTTTAGGGTTTAGGGTTTAGGGTTTAGGGTTTAGGGTTTAGGGTTTAGGGTTTAGGGTTTAGGGTTTAGGGTTTAGGGTTTAGGGTTTAGAATCCCAAACCACAGCCTTGGTAGCCCAGTGGTAACCCTTTGGTGCAAGGGCCCCTTGTAAAGTAACCAACCCCAAGAAGCATACCCTTCTCATACCATGGTTATTGCCCAAACCCTAAACCCTAAACCCCAAACCCTAAACCCTAAACCCTAAACCCTAAACCCTAAACCCTAAACCCTAAACTGGGCTACCAAGCAACTGCAAGGTCACTTTCTTGACGTCTGGCTCGTTCAGCGGGCCGTGGAGGGAAGTCCAGGCAGGATTTGCGCACCCTAGACCCTAAACCCTAAACCCTAAACCCTAAACCCTACACCCTAAACCCTAAACCCTAAACCCTAAACCCTTTTTGCTTGGGTTTTGAGTGGTGGGGTTTAGGGTTCAAGGGTGTCGGGTTGATACCCTAAGCCCTGAGCCTGTCATGCCCAAGTCTTGAGAGCCCTTTAGCACCAGCACACCCTGAAACCCTAAACCCTAAACCCTAAACCCTAAACCCTAAACCCTAAACCCTAAACCCTAAGCCCTAACCCTTTGTAAGCCGACTAAACTCCCTCGAGCCCCTTAAGCCGAAGCCTGCCGCTCGAGCTGCAACGGAAGGTCTTTGACGACATCCCGGCGGAGGGCGAGGGAAATGCAATTGGTCGGCAAGCCTGGGGATGCTCGCAAGGCCTAAAGGAATCCGAAACCCTAAACCCTAAACCCTAAACCCTAAACTGCCCTAAACCCTAAACCCTAAACCCTAAACCCCGAGGCCTAAACCCCAAGGCCTAAACCCTCAGCATAAGCTCTAAGCCCTAAGCCCTAAGCCCTAAGCCCTAAGCCCTAAGCCCTAAGCCCTAAGCCCTAAGCCCTAAGCCCTAAGCCCTAAGCCCTAAGCCCTAAGCCCTAAGCCCTAAACCTACACCCTAAACCCTAAACCCTCGACCCTACACCCTAAACCCTAAACTAAATCCTAAAGCAAACTTGCAAGGGCTGAGTTTTAGGGCACCAAGCTCTTGGTCTTCAGGGGTGCTCGCGGTCGTGGTTCGAGTTTTGGTCGCTTTAGAACCCGTAAACTAGTTCAGAGCCCCTTTGGGGTTTAGGGTTTAGGGTTTAGGGTTTAGGGTTTAGGGTTAGGGTTTAGGGTGGGGGGTTTCGGGTTTATGGCTCAAGGGTTAGGGTTTTAGGGGGCGAGTTGAACCCCAGCCATCCCACTGGACCTGCATCAAGTGCTGCCTGTGGCTCCCAGAAGTACTTCAAGATAAACAAACCCCAAACCTTTAAATCCCAAGGGTTTAGGGTTTAGGGTTGAGGGTTTAGGGTTTAGGGTTTATCCCTCAACCCCCAAACCCCTAATCCCAAAACATCTTGAACCGACCCTCAACCCGAAACCCTGAAACCGACTGAAGCCTTAAATCCCTAGATCCCTACACCGTAGACTAGTAGGCTTGACTCACTGAGGCGGGGATCACGCAGAACTTCTGCTGCGAGATTCCCAACACCAACCTGGTCTTTGAGAATCCGGTTGTCCCCTGTCCTTTGTGGGCCTAGGATTTGAAGTTAAGGGTTCCTAGAAACTTTGGGTTACCCTAAACCCTAAACCCTGAGGTGTTAGGGGCTTTGGGTGTTAGGGTTTAGAGTAAGGCTTGAGGGCCTTTTCGGGTTGATCGGGTTTAGGTGTGAGGCAGGGTTTGTCTGCTTCCAGTTGAGGAATGCAGGGTATGATAGGGACTTGCAGATCACCGAACCCTCGAATGTCGAACCAGAAAACCCTCAGCCCGAAACCCTAACCTTTAACCCTAAACCCTAAACCCTAAACCCTAAAACCCCCTAAACCCCAAACCCGAAGCCTCAACGTCGAAGCCCAAGAACAGCGAGTTCGCCCCTAAACCGCTCAGTTTCAAGGCCCTGCAAACCCCCTCAACCCTAAACCCCTAAGACCCTAAATTCCTAAACCCTAAACCCCAAACCCCTAGACAATAAACCCCTAAATCCCTAGACCCTAAACCCTAAACCCTAAACCCTAAACCCTAAACCCTAAACACCCCCAAAAGCCTCGACTCGAAACCCTTGGCCCTTAGCTCCGTAGAACCCCTAGCCCCCCAATCACTAAATACCCTAAAGCCCAACAACCCTAAAGCTCTAAACCCTGAACCCCTAAAACCCAAAAATGGTGGGAAAGATGGGGATGATTTTTATTTTTTTTTGGCCGAGGGGGGGGGGGGGGGGGGTTCTTAAGTAGGATTAGTTGCATGTGCAACTAGCGCCTTAAGTAAACCCTAAACCCTAAACCCTACAACCTAAACCCTAAACCCCAAACCCTAGCCCTAAACCCTAAACCCCTAAGTCCTCAACCAGGTCGGCCGCTACATGCGCCTGAGGGTCGACGAGAACCACGGCGGCGACGGCACCGGGCTCCTCAGCCAATTGGTTTCGGGTTTCGGCTTTCGGGTTTCGGGTTTAGGGTTTAGGGTTTAGGTCTCAGGGTTCAGGGTTTAGGGTTTAGGGTTTGTAGGGCTTAATTATTACAGGGGGGGTAGGGTTTGTAGGGTTTATAGGGGTTAGAGGGGTTATAGGGGTTATAGGGTTTGGGATCTTAAGGTTTAAGGTTTAAGGCTAAGGGGATATAAGGGGTTATAGGGTTCAGGGGTTAGGGTTATAAGGCCTAGGTTTTTTTTGTATGGCTTAGGGTGAAGGGTTTAAGCTCTTTTTGGGATTGGGGTTGTAGGGCTTAGGGTCCGGGGTTATAGGGTTATAGGGTTATAGGGTTATAGGGTTATAGGGTTATAGGGTTATAGGGTTATAGGGTTTAGAGCGTCGGGTTTAAGCTTTTTGTGGGGTTGGTAGGTTTTTTTTGGGGGGAGCGGGGGAGAATTCGAGCGTAAGTGTTTTTCTGCACCGGGTGATTGGAGAAGTCAGGCTCTTCCGCGCCTACTTCCACGGGCACAAGGTACCTGGCGACTGGGGGTTCCGGGTCACATCGGAGTTTCCGAAATTCGGGGTATCTTATTGGGGTACCTGTTCAGCGGATACGGCCATCAACTTCAAGACAAGCTTGGTTTACCCCATGACACCTTCGCAAAGTTTCGTGATGAGGCCTCCCGTCCTCTCCCAGATCTCAAAGTCAAGCCGAAACCCTAAACCCTAAACCCAAAACCCTGAACCCTAAACCCTAAACTCTAAACCCTAAGCCCTAAACCCAATGCCCTAAACCCAAAACCCTAAACTCAAGAGCAAGGACAGCAAGAGCTTCTTGTGAGGTTGAGGGGGGGCGAAGGCAAAGCTGAACTCCCAAACCCTATAGGCCCCAACTTTTTAGGGTTTAGGGTTTTAGGGTTTAGGGTTTAGGCTTTAGGGTTTAGGGTTTAGGGTTTAGGGTTTAGGGTTTAGGGTTAGGGTTTAGGGTTTAGGGACCGTCGACCCTGAACCCGAAGCCCTGAGCTCCTCAAACCCTAAGCCGGAAACCCTGAATCCTCAGCCCTAGACTTAGTTCACCTGGAAGCCCTGAACCCTCAGCACTAGACTTACGTAGTTCACCTGGAAGCCCTAAACCCTAAACCCTAAACCCCAAACCCTAAACCCTAAACCCCAAACCCTAAACCCTAAACCCTAAACCCCCTGAACCCTGAACCCTCAGCCCTAGACTTAGTTCACCTGTCAGGGCTGTGAGGACGTGAAGGAGCGCAGCAAGTCCTGCAAAGGCAGTTCCCTGAGCTGGGTTTTGGAGTACAAAACCTTTCAATACTTCTTTGCTTCTGGGTTCCAATTTGTAGCTACTTACACCTGAAAAGTCTATCCCTTTGTTTCCAGGGTTTACTCCAAGGTAGGGGCTTTGATGCTTCGGGAGCATTTGACGCGAGCTTCGGGTACGGATTTGGGGTGCGAAACCCTAAACCCTAAACCCTAGACCCTGGCGTGTTCCCCTAAGTTCGCAAGCCTAGACCCAAACAAACCCTAAGCACAGCAACCCGACAACCGTGGTTCCACCGGCTTCCTTAGAAGATCCGGGATAGGCATTGAGGTTTCATTGGGGTTTAGGGTTTTGGGTTTAGGGTGTAGGGTTAGGGTCTTAGGTTTTAGGGCTTAGTTCGTCTTGTCCTCTCACTTTTTTGAGGGGGGGGGGATTTGGAGTTTGGGGCTGGGGGGGGGGGGTTCTTATCCGAGCTCCGTAAACCCTAATCCGGCCTCAACGCGAAACCCTTATTTTCAACTCTCCAGTGTTTGGTATCCTACAGCTTGAGGGATTCTTGGGATGTAGGACGCCAATCCACAGCCTGTCATCTCTGTTGGTGTGGGCTTTTCGGGTTTAGGGTTTAGGGTTTAGGGTTTAGGGTTTAGGGATATGGTCGCAGGTGCGGTGCACGTCAAGGGCTCCCCTGGCATCAAGGACCTGCACAGCACGAAGCCCGAGTTCGTGGACGTATACCCCACTTACTAGCCGTTAGGGTTTAGGGTTTAGGGTTTTAGGGTTTTAGGGTTTTAGGGTTTAGGGTTTGTCAGTAATGCCCTTTTCATTTTTTGTGTTCTAGGCTCCTTATACAGCAACCAACCCCCCAAAAAGCGTATACTGGGTATGGGTACTGGGCTACCAAGTAGTCGGTCTGCTACTAAGAACCAGCAAGCCTAAGTTATACAGTAAGACAGTTAAAATAAAAAAAAACACAGGTCCCCTCCCATAGGATGGATAAGTTTAGGGTTTCGGGTTTAGCATGAAGGAGGCCCCAAGTTGGCACCCCCCCCCCCCCCCCTCCCACTCCCCCCACATACCCCTCCTGACCAGAGCTTGTTCTCAAAAGTCGACAGTTGGATGCAACCAGGGTTCCTGCTTCGGGTTTAGGGTTTCGGGTTTAGGGTTTAGGGTTTAGGGTTTAGGGTTTAGGGTTTAGGGTTTCGGGATGTCGGGGACAGCAATTGACAGGGCCCAAGGTGCCAATGTCAGCACCACCGCCTCTCCATTGCGGAGCCTTCAAGCAGCAGCTCAAGCCTGAAGTCCCACACCCTAAACCCTAAACCCTAAACCCTAAACCCTAAACCCTAAACCCTAAACCCTAAACCCCAAACCCTAAACCCTAAACCCTAAACCCTAAGCCGTAAACCCTAAACCCTAAACCCTAAACCCTACTTGCTGATGCCCCCAATTTGGGGATGGCCCGAGACCCCGAGCTACCCCAGGCTTTGAGCTCGCCTGGCTCGGGGCTTAGGCAGGCAGAGGAGGCCCAGATGTAGGGCTTAAAGGCTTAGAGTCAACCCTAAACCCTAAACCCTAAACCCGAAACCCTAAACCCGAAACTCTTCGAAACCTGTGCAGGCCTCGGTCAAGAGCAGTGATTTCGCGCAAGAAGTTTAGGGTGTATGGTTTAGGGATTAGGGTTGAGGGTTTGGAATGCCGAGCTTGTGAAGCTGACTGGGCTTGGAGTTTAGGGGGTCTAGGGCTTGGGCTTTCGGGGATTAGGGTCTCAGCATCTGGACTTCGCCCGCAACCGGTTAAGGGGTAGTTGTATGGTCCCTTAATATGGTCCGGTTCTGAAGTATGGGCCCTTGGGTTTTAGCTATATAAGGGGTATATAAGGGTACCCCTAAACCCCTGAACCCCTAAACCCCTAAACCCCTCAACCCCTCAACCCCTAAACCCCTAAACCCTAAACCCCTAAACCCCTAAACCCCTAAACCCCTAAACCCCTAAACCCCTGAACCCCTAAACCCCTAAACCCCTAAACCCCTAAACCCCTAAACCCCTAAACCCTAAACCCCTGAACCCCTAAACCCCTAAACCCCTAAACCCTCAACCCATTAAGGGGTACGGACACCAGGACGTCTATACGTGCTGGGCGGCTGTCCGCGAGCAGTGCGATGGTGCCTTGCCGGTATGTTGACCTGGGGCTGGGGGGCTAAGCCCTGAGCCCTAAACCCTAAACCCTAAACCCTAAACCGCACTTGTCGGACCCCTAAACCGCACTCTTTGGCTGCCCCTGTTGGGCCACTTTAGCTAAGGCGCAAGACCTCACACATAGGCGATTTCTGGCCTGACCTCTACACTGCAAGGTTTGTTTAGGGTTTAGGGTTTAGGGTTTAGGGTTTAGGGTTTAGGGTTTAGGGTTTAGGGTTTAGGGTTTAGGGTCTAGGGTCTAGGGTCTAGGGTCTAGGGTTTAGGGCAGCCCCTAAGCCATTTCGACACCCCAAGCCCCTGACCTCTATGCGATACGCGGAACAAGATAAGACAAGGCACTGACAGGTGTTACCCCCCATCCGTGCCAGCAACCTTTGACCCTAAACCCTAATTGAACACTAAACCCGGAACCCTAAACTCAGCAGAAGATTCGTTTCCGTGCCAGGGAGGGGGGTCCCGTTACTACGCGACCCTAAACCCTAAAACCCTAAACCCTATTGAAATCATATACTTGTTCTTTTTCAGAACCCCTGGAGCCCTTGAGCCTCAAGCCCTACACCCACCCAGGGGGTGTTTAGGGTTTAGGGTTTGAGGTTAGGGTTTGGGGTTTAGGGTTTAGGGTTTACGGTTTAGGGTTTAGGGTTTAGGGTTTAGGGTTTAGGGTTTAGGGTTTAGGGTTTGGGGAACCTTTAGGGTTTAGGGTTAAGGGTCCCTAAGCCCCCTCTCCTTGAGGCGACACGCGCTTCGATTTCGACGCCACCAAGGGCGCTTGCCGATGCACGCACACGAACTGCAAAGACACGATCGAGGCGAGTTCAAGGGGGGTATGAAACCTGGGTTTTGGAGTCTTATGCTTTAGTACTTTTTGTGGTTCTGGTTCCTACTATAGCTACTTATACCCCAAAAAATAGATACCTTCTTCCAGGGTCTACTCCAAAGTAGGATAACCCATGGTTCCCTAATACTCCCCACTACTCCCTAAACTCCCCAAGCTTCCCCAGGTCCTCAACCCTAAACCCTAAACCCTAAACCCTAAACCCTAAACCCTAAACCCTAAACCCCAAGGCGGGGCACCGGGAGGTGACTCTACTTTGCGGTTTAGGATTTAAGGTTCATAGGTTTTTTTGTTTTTTTTTTTTGGGGGGGGGGGTTAGGGTTTAGGGTTTTTTTTGGGGGGAGGATGTGTTTTGCTTCCTGTGTTTAGGGTTCATGGTTCAGGGCTTAGTAGAGGGTTTAGGATCTGTTGTTCATTCTTTTTTTTTTTTTTTTGGGGGGGGGGGGTGGACAAAAAGACGCTGCAGGCTTAGGGGTGGGCGCAACCTTAGGCCCTCTCGGCCCTGATCCTAAACCTTGCTGAGATCAAGCTTGACAGCTCGAGAACCGTCCTGCTTGGGTTTAGGTGTTCGGGTTTAGGGTTCGGAGGGGCGCAGGACTCACCTGAGGTAGCTGCAAAACTTGAGGGTGTCGGCTCTTCAGGTAAACCCATACACCCCGAAAACATCCCAAAACCTCCCAAAGCTGAGCCTTTCCGTCTCCTCCGTGCAAACACATCATCAGTGAATGGCAATAAAGATGACGAAGGTTTTGCGTTTCCTCCGTGCAAACACAGTTAGAGAGGTTGTAGTAGAGTGGAGACGTGGTGGAATTTCCTGGGAGTTGCAAATGCAGGCAGCCGCCACAAACTTTACCCCAACAGCCCAAGCCTCCAAGCCCTAAGCCCTCAATCCTAAACCCTAAACCCTACACCCTACACCCTGCACCCTAAACCCTAAACCCTAAACCCTAAACCCTAAACCCTAAACCCTAAACCCTAAACCCTAAACCTTTCGGTTGGAGGACAGCACCTCCAACATCTACGAGGTGTGCGAGGCGCCAGGGCGGTTTGGGCTCTTTGAGCTTAGGGTTTAGGGTTTAGGGTTTAGGGTTTAGGGTTTAGGGTTTAGGGTTTGGGGTTTAGGGCTAGAGGGGTGGACATGCTTTCTAGGTCTTATAGGGGTTCAGAGGGTTTGTAGAGTTCACGGTCTTAGAGCGCTGAAATAGGGCTGCAATAGTAATAGGACTTATGTATGATAGCCTTAAGGTTTTATAGGCGTTAGTTCTGAGTCCGGGCTACCTGAGACATCGGAAACCCAAACAGGCCGAGTCCAGGCAAGCGACTTCTGGTGTTTGGGCTTTGGGTGTTTGGGCTTAGAGACATGCTTGGAGTGTCATGAGAGTTCCTGGATGGGTATAGAGCTGGTGTTATAAGGGGGATAACTCTGTCGATGGGTGGCTGTTTTCGCTTATTTGGGTACCTGTAGTCTGGGAGGGTCCCAAACCCAAGCCCCAAGTACTTAAAGGCTCATAGGGAGGATAGCCGATCGAATCGCAGCATTTTGAACCTTATTCAAGGTAAATATACGCAAGTGCTTTGAGGCCTGCCCGGCGATCTATGCGCAAGACAGGTCCTGCAGGGAGAAGGCACTCCGCTTGGGGGACGAAGGTCTGGGTTTAGGTTCTTGATTTCAGGGTGTGTTTGAGGTGCTTGTCAACATAGGCAAAGGTTTGAGCAAGCTGGGTCTCTATATATGGCCTTGAAGACGACCCTGTTGTCATGGGATACTCCTAGGGGTACTCCCTACTCTTGGCCAGGTCTGGAACATGTTGATAATGGCCCAATTCCGCCAGGCCACCTGCAGTCGCCTTAAGCTTTCCTACAGACCTTCAAAGCTACACTGCAGTCCCTAAAAGCCTAAACCCCCAAAACCTGACCCCCAATACCCTGCATTCCTTATGACAAAACCCTAAAGCCCCAAGCTCCCAAAAGCCCTAAGCTCCCAAACACCCCCAAACCCTAAACCTTCAACCCTCCACCCTAAACCCTGAAGCTTAAACCCTACAGTCCTAAACCCGAAACGGAAAACCCTGAGCCCTAGCATCAACACCCGAAACCCGAAACCCGAAACCCGAAACCCGAAACCCGAAACCCGAAACCCGAAACCCGAAACCCTAAACCCTAAACCCTAAACCCTAAACCCTAAACCCTAAACCCTAAACCCTAAACCCTAAACCCTAAACCCTAAACCCTAACCTAAACCCTAAACCCTAAACCCTAAACCCTAAACCCTAAACCCTAAACCCTAAACCCTAAACCCTAAACCCTAAACCCTAACCTAAAGACCCTAAACCCTAAGCCCTCAACTTTCACTCAGAAGCACGTCTCCGGCTCGCCCGGTATTCGCGACTCCCAGGCCGAGATCGGGTCCTCAGAAGGGGTTTAGGGTTTAGGGCTTAGGGTTTAGGGTTTAGGGTTCGGTGTGTAGGGTTTAGGGTTCGGTGTGTAGGGTTTAGGGTTTGGGGTGTAGGGTTTAGGGTGTAGGGTTTAGGGTGTGGGGTTTAGGGCTAGGGGTAGGGTAGGGTTTAGGGTTTAGGGTTTAGGGTGTAGGGTTAGGGTGTAGGGTTTAGGGGTAAGGTTAGGGTTTAGGGTTTAGGGTTTAGGGTTTAGAGTTTTGTGTTTAGGGTTCGGTGTGTAGGGTTTTGGGTTTGGGGTGTAGGGTTTAGGGTTTGGGGTTTGGGGTTTGATGTTTGGGGTTTGGGGTTTTGACGGTATGAAGGGCGCTGAGCGTACGGAGAGCATATTAGGGCATCTTGGAAGGTGGCTTGGGGGGTGGATGTGTCAAGGCGGTCAGGATTTTGGGGTTTAGGGTTTAGGGTTTAGGGTTTGGGGTTTAGGGTTTAGGGTTGAGGGTTCGTGCTTTCGGGCTTGATGTGTTGCGCTTGGTAGGGGGTGCAGGGTTGCAGTCACCGTTTTGTACCTGGGAACCGAACTACCCTACGATTTGGCGGGGTTCTTCCCCTTAAAGCTTGCAGGTATGGCTTCGTGCGTTTGTGACCCTACCTTCAGGCTCTTAGGGTTGAGATTCCCGTAACAATGTGTCCTTCTTGTTCCTAGGTTCCTCCTGGGTGAAGCCCTAAACCCTCAACCCTAAACCCTGGGTCCAAGGTAGAACCCCCTAGAGTTTGAGGCTTTTGACGAGTGTTTGACCACAGAGTCCATCACGTGGAGTTCCATCACCTGGGACGGTCAGGTCCGATCAACAAGAACTTCAGGAAGATTGAGCCCTAAACCCTAAACCCTAAACCCTAAACCCTAAACCCTAAACCCTAAACCCTAAACCCTAAACCCTAAACCCTAAACCCTAAACCCTAAACCCTAAACCCTAAACCCTAAACCCTAAACCCTAAACCAGGCCTGCCTCGACAAGGTGCGCAAGGAATGCCCAGCCGCTTGGCCGCAAAAATAGGGAACCACAAGGAGCTTCGGGATGTTTGGGGTTTGGGGTTTGGGGTTTAGGGGGTTTAGGGTTTAGGGCTGAGGCCCTGATAGAAGCCTGTGATGCTGAAAGCTCCCCTCCCAATGACTCCCTGAACCCAACGACTCCATTCCTCCCCAAGTACCCCGTTTTCGGTTCAGGGTTTGGGGCTTGGGGCTTGGGTGTAGGTCTCAAATTTCCAGGGCTTCGAAGAAACCCCTACGCATACCACAGCTCTGAGTCTGAATTCCCGCGGCATTGTTAACTCCACTGAGGACCTCCCTTACGGACATCGTCCGCCCGACACACGCAGACCCAAGGGCCCATCTCTGTGTTTTGGGGTTCTCCTATAATTAGGGTAGTTACATGGTCCCTTAGTATGGGCCCTTACAAGGGTGCCCCACCCCTTACATACCCTATACAACTTACGTTAAGGGCCCTTACATCCCAACCCTTTAACGGAGGTTAGGGACAATATTCAGGGCCCATAACACTACCCTAAACCCTTTACCCTAAACCCTAAACCCCAAGAGACCATATTCAGGGCCCATGTACCTACCCTTAGAGGTTCAGGGTTTAAGGGACTTGAGGGTTTATAGGGTTTAGGGTTTAGGGCAAGCGAAGCCCTGGAGAGGTAGCCAAAGGACCCTAAAGCCTAAACCCTAAACCCTAAACCCTAAACCCTAAACCCTAAACTCCAGGAAAGTCGCTTCTTCGCCTTCCGCGCCAGCGACGACTCCTGCCTCTGCGGCGGCGAGGAGGACGACCCCGAACATCTAAGCCCTAAACTTGCCCCGAACCCTAAACCCTAAACCCTAAACCCTAAACCCTAAACCCTAAACCCTAAACCCTAAACCCTAAACCCTAAACCCTAAACCCTAAACCCTAAACCCTAAACCCTAAACCCTAAACCCTAAACCCTAAACCCTAAACCTAACCCTAAACCCTAAACCCTAAACCCTAAACCCTAAACCCTAAACCCTAAACCCTAAACCCTAAACCCTAAACCCTAAACCCTAAACCCTAAACCCTAAACCCTAAACCCTAAACCCTAAACCCTAAACCCTAAACCCTACCCCCTAAATCCTGAACCTTAAGCTCGCAACCCCTAAACCCTAAATCCTAGCCCTAAATCCTAAACCCTCAACCCTATATAAGCCCCTAAACCTTCATCCTGAACCCTAAACCCGAATCTGAAACCTTAAGCCTTAAACCTTACACCCTAAACCCTAAACCCTAAACCTTATAGTATTCGTGCAGCATTCGCATGATTTTATGATCAAAATAGTAGTTTTTCATGCATGAAGAGAACGCATTAAAAACCCGGCAAAATAGGCTAAAGGTTGTGTGAACGAATGGAATGAATCCTGTAGACGCGGGTGTTATTATGAAGGGGGAATTAGTGCACAGCGTGTTTGGATTAATATTTGTCTTTCGCTTGCCCGTAAATTATATTGCAAGCGCCCAATACCAATAAACCAGATTATTAATACTAAGCAGCGAGAATATACTGTTGATCCGTAAGTCTTTTGTAGAGAACATATGAACTACACTATAAATGAAGTACTATTAGAAGAGCTCCTACAATAATACTAAGGCCTTATAATATAGTACATATTATTCCTAATAATCGCATAAACCCAAAACCCTAGCCCTAAACCCTAAATACCGCAGGAGCCGAGCTGCAGTCGCTGGGAGGAGAACGCGGGCTTCAACATCTACTCTGTGCCTGGACGCTTTCGAGTTTAGAGTTTAGAGTTTAGAGTTTAGGGTTTAGGGTTTAGGGTTTAGGGATTATGGTTTCGGGTCTTAGAGGAAGTTTAGGGGGTTTAGGGTTTAAGGGGTTTAGGGTTCAGGGTCGAGGTTTTTGCAGTATCCCTGCCCACCTGCAAACCCCCAAGACTCTGACGCAAGTCCTGCCCAGACCCTGAACTCTCTTAAGCCTCGAAGTCTCGGCCCAGGTCTGTGGGGCATCGCACAGCGTCCCCAGCAAGGCTTCGGCTAGTTTATCGTCCGTCTGGCTTCAGGGTTGGGGGTGAATTAGGTCTCTGAAGTTATGATCCCTGTTTTGGAGTCCCAGGTATACAGGCTCCCTTTCTGATTTAGAGTGTGCTGCTTTTCTTTGCGCAGTTCCGATGAGGGTAATCGTCACCCAAAGTTCACTTGAGGGCCTTAAGCACCCACTTCCCAAACCTAACTGAACCAACCTGAAACGCTAATCCCCCTACGAATCCCCAAACCCAAAGCCCAAAACCCCAAACCCCAAGCCCCAACCCTGGTCCCTAAACCCTTGCACTCTTGAGACCCTCATCATATAAGCCTCCTATAAGCCAGAGAAGCCGCACTCCCACCTGCGTTTTGTCACGCTTGAGTCCATGCTTTGCTTGCTGCAACCGAAAGACAGGGCATATGTGTGTCAGTTCATGACCTTGCTGATCAAGGAGTTTTTGGACCCATTCCGCTGGGCGGCGTTGGACGTGGGCAAATTCGCACCATACACACACATGATCCCTTCTCGACTGTCCGAACCTTTCTGATGAAAGTGAGCTATGGACCACTTGAGGCCCTGTAACCCCCAAAAGCCCGAGAGACTACAATGGTCGTACTTCAGGCTCTTCAGAGAAGGTATGGGACCATGTTAAGGGACCATGTAACTACCCCAAACCCTAACCCTTAAAAATCCTAAACTCTTTAGGCCCTAAACTCTTTAAAGAAGATAAGGGGTCATATCTGGGATGCCCAGTAGTACCCTTATTCCCTTTTTGGTAGGTTTAGGTTCCCTTATAAACCCCTTTAAGCAAAAAAGGGCACCCTTTTTCATCCTAGGCTACTGGGCAACCTAGATCAACTTCCCTCAGATTCGTACTTAAGCCCGTCGGTCAACACCCAGAATCATATTTGACTTACTAAGTAGGGTTAGTTAGATGGCATGTCTAGATGATAACAGGGTTTCTAGGGGATGCTACGTAGACCTACCCTGCACCCTCAACCCTAAACCCTAAACCCTGACAATTCCTAGATCCCAGAAGCCCTGGCCCAGATCGAGTGGAAGCTGCTCTTCCGACAGACCTTCCCTCAAGTGTTTGAGGAAGACATGTGGTCCGTGCCGCTGGGCCGCGGCGGAGCCTGAACAACTCTCCCTAAACCCTAAACCCTAAACCCTAAACCCTAAACCCTAAACCCTAAACCCTAAACCCTAAACCCTAAACCCTAAACCCTAAACCCTAAACCCTAAACCCTAAACCCTAAACCCTAAACCCTAAACCCTAACCCCTAAACCCTACCCCTAAACCCTAAACCCTAAACCCTAAACCCTAAACCCTAAACCCTAAACCCTAAACCCTAAACCCTAAACCCTAAACCCTAACCCTAAACCCTAAAGCGCTGTTTTTGGGCATCCTCAGGGAAACCACCTGAAGCCTTATGCCGAAACCTCGTGCAACTGAGGAATGCAAACGATCCGAAGGCCGACAACTTCGCAGTGTTGGACCAGCTCCTTCGTCTCTTCAGGGTTTAGGGTTTAGGGTTTAGGGTTAGAGGCTGTAGGGGTTTTGGGACTAGGGTCTAGGAGATAGGGTTTAGCCTCTAGGGTTAGAGGGTTTGGGGTTTAGGGTGTGGGGTTTAGTGGCTGTTTGGGTCTTAGGGGTCTCCAGTGGGAGGGTTTAGGGGGTTTTGGAGCTTAGGGTTTAGAGTTTAGGGTTTAGGAGTTGGGGTTGTTTAGGTCTTAGGCTTTGGTAGTTTGAGGTTTAGGCGTTTTGGTTTCGGGTTAGAGTCTCAGGGGTAGTTACATGGTCCTGCCTTGTTAATGAGTTCCAAAGTACGGTCAGTGCATAGAATATGGGGTCGATCTAGATGAAACCCGAAACCGCAAACCCTAAACCCTTAATGGTCTCCTACAGTAAACTCCAAAAAGTTTGAACGCCCTCATCCACACACCCCAAAAGTACACAAAAGGGAATCCCAGCTCTACTCATCCAAAAATAATGTTCCCACTTTCCGGAGTTTACTGTGCACTTTACGAAATATACTAGAATAGACTCCTTAGGGTTTAGGGTTTAGGGTTTAGGGTTCAGGGTTTAGGGTCCCAAGAGGGCCCAGGATTCGATCAACCTCCACAGGACTTGTGACACCTAGGATGGACTCCCGCCAGGTTGTCGGGCCCGAAATGTGAGAGTCCTTTGCATCTACCCCGAAAGTGTGGGGTTTAGGGTTTAGGGTTTAGGGTTTAAGGTTTAGGGTTTAGGGTTTAAGGTTTAGGGTTTAGGGTTTAGGGTTTAAGGTTTGGGGTGAGTAGGCCGGGTCAATATCAGGGTTAGTCAGTGGATCCTCTGAGTACTGCAACACGGTTGCTGGCCATAGCCGTTTAAGCCGTAAACCAAGGCAGAGCAGCTATAGGCAATAGGGGCGGACGCGGATTTCGGGTTTGCGGTTTAGGGCGGAAGAGCGAACCACTAACCCGAAGCCCTCACTGATCCCAGGTTGGAATCTTTCCGAATCGATGGAGCATTCACCTTCAAGCGGCTGGGTGCAGAAGAGCTGGGGTTTAGGGTTTAGGGCTTCGGGCTCAGGGCTTCAGGGTGTATAGGGTTGAGGGTTTAGGGTTTAGGGTTTAGGGTTTAGGGTGTTCCGCAGGGTCGTCCCCTCTAACCCCTAAACCCGGAGCCTTAACCCGCAATGCCGTTTGAACCGCAGTGTTCCTTGGGTCTGACCTATACAAGCCCCTCACCCCTCAGACCTAAGCCCTACGTCATAACAAGCGAGTTGTGTTTACCACGAGCTTAGACAGTCTTGCCTCATGAGTGCTTAGGAGACGTCAATTCCTGACTTGGGGCCCCGAAGTTTTACCCCCTTGAAGTCCTTAGATGTTTAGGGCTTATGGGGCTTCAGGGTTCTGGGCTTTAGGATATACAGGGTTTTAGGCCTGAAAAACTTGAACCTTTGCCCTGCATGCGAAGGCTGCGTTGGCCCAGTGAGATGAAGGATCAGATCTGGAGGCCTCTGAAGCAAGGGGGGGGTTTAGGGTTTAGGGTTTAGGGTTTAGGGTGTAGGGTTTAGGATTTTGGGTTTTGGGTTTAGGGCTTTCGGCCTCTGAAGCAAGGGGGGGGGGGGGGGGTGGTTAGTACATGTTGGGTTTCGGGGTTTCGCGGTCAGGGGTTAGGGTTTAGGGTGTGCAGGCTTTCATGACTTGGGGCTGCAGTGTTTAGGGTCTGGGGCTTTCGGGTTTCAGGGTTCAGGGCTTGGGGTAAACCCAAAATCCTAAACCGGTTCAGGGTTCGGGGGTTCTGGGCCTTCGACTCCCAATTGCTGTTTGGGTCTGAGGCTTTAGGGCTTAAGAACCGCCAATTCCTCCCCGCTGACTCTAATGTCCCTCAGGCAGACGTCGAATCCGGTCATCTCCGAGGGCAAGGTCGAAGGCTACGACGCTTGTCTTTCTTGATGATGAGGGTTTTAGGGTTTAGGGTTTAGGGTTTAGGGTTTAGGGTTTAGGGTTTAGGGTTTAGGTTTGGGTTTCGGGTTAGGGTCTGGCTGCTTAGGTCTTAGGAGTTGAGGGTCTGAGGTTTTTTTTTAAGGTGCAAGTCTTAGAGGCCCCTGAGCTGTGGTTTAGGATTTGGGGTTTAGGTTGCAAAGCAGGTTTATGGGGGTTCATTAAGGGTTACAGCCCTGGGCCCCTACCGCCCACACCCTGCATACATGCTAAACCCATGAACCTCTGAACTCCTCGCGCAACCCTAAGCACCACGCGGTCTCAACGTAGCATACTGGTATCCCTGCTTCTCAGAGGCTGCCAGACCCCATAATGCAAACATGTGTGATGGGGTTTTCAAGGAGTCTTCATGAATTGCCCGGTATGGAAGTCCTCCAAACCCTACCCTAAACAGGAATCTTCCCTAAGGACATAACTCCCTAAACCCTACAACCCTCTAAGCCTTTCCCTCAACTCTGCACAGAAGTATTCCTTCCTAGATTCCTTGAAATTGAAAGGGGCTACTGAACTACGACCCAGAGTAGGCCCGTATTCCCATTGTTAAAGGGTTTAGGTTCACTTATGAGCCCCTTTTATGCCACAAAGGGCACCCTTTCTATTCCTAGGTGACTCTCGAGACTAGTTCAGTAGGGGTTCCCTGGTTCTACAAACGCTTGTTAAGGGAGTTATAGCCGAAATGGCAAGACTTACAACCCTCTTAAGGGCACTTTGAACCCTAAACCCTTATAACCCTAAACCCTAAACCCTGTACCCTAAACCCTTCTAACCTTGAACTCCCCACCCCGAATCCACGACCCAGGAAGCTGTGGACGCTCCCTACAACGCCAACGGCTGGGGTGGCCTGCGACATGGCAAGGCGCGCTGTTTTAGGGTTCGGGGATAGGGTTTCGGGCTTAGGGTTTAGGTTTTAGGGCCCCGGGCTTTTGGGGAGGTTAGGCGGGGGGTCTAGGGTGTTTAGGGTTTAGAGGCAACATAGACTACGTTGAAGGGTTCATGAGACATTCTGAGTATGGTGGTGCCTGATGGGTTAAGCCTCTCAAGCCCTAAACCCCCCAAACCCCATTTAGAAGCTCTTGTGACTTCGTAAATCTACTCAGTATCCCCTAGAAAAGAGTCCTGGCCACAATCCCACCTTACCAACCCTACTCACTATAAGTTAGAAGGGCTTCCAAGTAAACGCCACCCTAAACCCTAAACCCTAAACCCTAAACCCTAAACCCTAAACCCTGAACCCTGAACCCTGAACCCTGAACTCTGAACCCTGAACCCTGAACCCTAAACCCTAAACCCTAAACCCTAAACCCTAAACCAACAAACTGGTGCAGCTCCGCAGTGTGAAGAACGACAAAGACAGGGAGCTGGCCATCATCGAGGAGCTTGAGGACTGGGATAACAGGCTTCAGAAGCTCAGCGACCCACTTGCCTTTGCGGCCTTTGAGGGCGAGGAGCAGGAGAAGCTGATGAATGTGGCCCAGTACCATGACGAGTGGGCGAGCACAGACCACGGGAAGGTGAGGGCCTGGTACGTCTGCCTCCAGACTTGGGGTGGCCAGCATCCGCCCTGCGCCCAACACGAGGCCCCACGACCGACACCCAAAGCCATCACAAAGCTGGGCTGCTAGGTGAAAACAGAAATGAAGGGGTATGATACAATCCTTCCTTAGATGTTCCTTTCATAGGCTAAGCGGTATGCGTTTGGGGTATGTTGAATTCTTCTCAGATAATCCCAAACCCTAAACACTCTAAGCCCCCCCCAAGGCCCCGAGACCTGCCAAGAGTAAGCCCACATACTTCCAGGTTTAGGATTTGGGATCTAGGTGGCAGGACTGCTCGAGGTCAAGCGTCAACCCTAAACCCTAAACCCTAAACCCTAAACCCTAAACCCCTAAAAGCCTTAAACCCTAAAGTTGCCCCCCACCCCCCCCCCCCCCCCCCCCCCCCCGGCACAGGGCAAGTCGCTCTTGGATGGGTCGGCCAACATGGATCCCAGCTACTGGCGCCTCCTCTGCTACTACTTGCTTAAGAACGCCCCAAAAAAATGAAAATATCCTTCCTTGTAAGGGTGTGATAGGGATGATTTTCTCTCTCATTTTTTGGGGGGGTTCTTAAGCAAATAGTAGTCATGAGTCTTCAACGCCACTGCCCGCAGCGATCATGACATCCTAACCCCCAAACCTATAAACCCATAAACCTGATTCTACACCCTGCAAACCCTATAAACCCTGCAAACCCTACAAACCCGATGAACCCTATGAACCCCCTGAACCCCGAGCTGTAAACCCCGACACCCAAAACGTCCGAAATCCGCACCATACACATCCTAAGCCTTTACTGGGCTTTTGTTCAGCAGCTTACAGAGGTGACCATAAACAGTGTACTGTATTTCTCAACGTGTAACCTTTAAACCCTAAACCTGAAAGCCTAAACCCTAAACCCCCTTCGGAGGGTCCGGCGAAGGGGTCTAGGGGTGTTGGCAGTTTAGGGTTTAAGGTTCAGGCGTTGCGGAGGTTAAACGGGTTAAAGGGGTCTAGGAATCACAGGGCTTGAGGGGTTTGGGGGGCTTAGGGGGGCTGAGAGGTTTCCCGGCAAAGGTGTTTAGGGGTTAGGGTTTAGGATTCCAAGGGCCTGGGGGTAGGGGTTGAGGTTTGGGGGGGGTTTGGGTTTAGGTTGCTAGGGATCAAAAGCCTGGTATTTAGGGCTCCGCTTGGGGGGATCCAGGCCCATGCCAGCAGCATGGCTAAAAGTCTATCGGCACCCCACCTAAACCAAACCCTGAAGAGTCTTAAACCCTAAACCCTAAACCACTGAAGAGTATCTCTCAAAGGGGGTTTTATTGTCTAAAGGCCACGGGGGGTGGCCTGGGCCCAACCCTAAACCCTAAACCCAAAACCCAAGCCCTAGAAGCCCTTACCCTAAGGGTCCATGAACCCCCGAAGCCCCTTATTATATACTTGGGCCTCAACGTCCCTAGAAAGGCTTCAAAGCCCAAAGATTCCCTATTTGGGTACCTGGAGCCTTAGGGTTTCCGTAACCCTACTTGTTAGGGTTTAGGGTTTAGGGTTTAGGGTTTAGGGTTTAGGGTTCAGGGTTTAGGGTTTAGGGTTTAGGGTTTAGGGTTTAGGGTTTAGGGTTTAGGGGTTTTTCTTAATGCAAAACGGCCCTGAACCCTACAACTGCAAATCGCTCAGTCGTTCAACCTATCGCAATAAGGTACTATGCCGTTGGCGCCACCCAAGAGTGGCGCGGAGGCTTCCCTGGCCCAGAAGGTCCCGTGAAGCAGGCGCGGCGCCCCACAACCCCAGGGTTTAGGGTTTAAGGTGTAGGGTATTGGTTGTAAGGCGTTAGAGGTGTTAGGGTTTCGGATTTTTGGGGGGTGTTCAGGGCTTAGGGCTCCCTGAAGCACGAAATACTTTAAACCAGCCCAAAAAACTGAACCCCAAGGCCCTACGCCCTACCACGCCTCACCATCCCACGTCTGCGCGTCTCTGAGCGAAGCCTTGAACCCATGGCCTCTAACCTAAGAAGTAAAGCATGGTAACCCTGAACCCTTGAACTCTAGGCCGACTCTGGAACCCCCGAAGCCCTCAATCCTAAACCCAAAGCGCAAAATTACCTACTACAACCCCCAAACCCTAAACTCCCAACTAAACCCTTAGACCCCTACACCCTAAACCCTAAACCCCTAAACCCCTAAACCCTAAACACTAAACCCTCCACCCCTAAACCCCTAAACCCCAAACCCTGAACCCTAAACCCTTCAACCTCAGACTTGGCAGGTAGAGCTCTGGGTCCGAGCGCCAACCGACGAGGCCGGCTTAGACTTTCAGGTCTTGGGGGTTTAGGGTTTAGGGTTTAGGGTCAAGGGTTTAGGGTTTAGGGTCAAGGGACTATAAGAGTATAAGGGGCCTGAGGGTTTATGGTTTAGGGTTCGGGGTTTAGTATACGGAACCTGGGGGTAATAGGTGAAAGAAGGTATTCCTAGGGGTGGCCCGCCCTAAGGGCACCCTAAATCTCCCCCAAACCTTAAAAACTCACGCAAGGCCGCGCCCCACTCCTCCTCCTCCTCCTCCTCCTCCATCCCTAAACCCTAAACCCTAAGCTAAACCCTAAACATTCTACCCAAGCCAGCGCTCGAGCAGCCCTACGTCCTAGTCCAAGTCAACCCTCAAGGGGTTGATGGTTTGGGTTTATCTAGGGCTTCTACCTTGGACCCTTAAGGTTGTACCCTTGGGTTTGGGGCCCCTTTTTAAGGATCCTTAAGGGAATATGAGGGCCATATTAGGAGTATATTGGGGGGAACCTTTAGGGGTACAACCTTAAGGGTACGAGTCTGAATCCCTTGAGTTTAGGGTGTGGGGTTTGCAGACGCAACAAAGCCGAAGACCAAGTCCCCCTCCAAGTATAAGACGAGAACCCTTCAGGGGTACAGCCCCTACGCCCCAAACCCTACACCCGAAACCCTAAATGTTCCGCTAAATGTTCCGTAAACCCTAAACCCTAAACCCGAAAACGTAAACCCTGAACCCTAAACCCCTAAACCCTAAACCCTAGACCCGAAACCCTAAACCCTAAACCCTAAGCATTCCCTAAACCCTAAATATTCCCACAAGGTGCACGGTGCCAAGTCCCACTCCTCCCCTGAAGCTGAGGTGTGCTGGGCTCCGAAGAAGTCGAAGGGCTACCTTGTGACGGAGATTGCGCTGGACTGCTTCATCGTGGGCTTGGGGATTTAGGATTTTGGGGTTTAGGGTTTAGGGCTACTTGAAAGCCCTTTTGACTAAGTAAGTAGGGTTGGTAAGGTGAGTTCTGGGGATTGTAATTGGGTTTCTGCGGGATACGAAGTAGACTTACCAAGACAAGAGAGCTTCTAAGTAGTGGGCTTTGGGGATGCTGGGGATGAAGAAGGGGTTCGGGGATTCGGGGGATTGTGAGGCGCTTGTTGACGCTCTAGGGTTTCATGGTTTTAGGCTTCTAAGGGTAGTTACCTCCACCCTCCCCACCCGAATATCCGAATACCCTAAACCCTGAACCCCCAACCCTATACCCTAAACCCTAAACCCTACACCCTAAACCCTAAACCCTAAACCCTAAACCCTAAACCCTAAACCCTAAACCCTAAACCCTAAACCCTAAACCCACCCCCGCCAACCGGAGCCTTCCAGAGGAGCGAAACATCTTCCGCGTGAACGTCGCGTGCGACGAGGAGAAAGACTACGAGGGCACGGCCCGGGCTGTGGCATGCTCCTTAACCGCTTTAAGGGTTTAGGGTTTGGGGTTTGGGGTTTAGGATTTGGGTTTAGGGTTTAGGGTTTAGGGTTTAGGGTTTAGGGTTTAGGGTTTAGGGTTTAGGGCTTAGGGTTTAGGGTTTGCGGTTTAGGGTTTAGGGTTTAGGGTTGTGGATGTAACCTGAGGTAGGACTTGAGTTTCTGTCGTCGTGTTCTGACAGGGTTCTAATTGCTTTGACCTGGGCTTAGAAGGGTTTTTGAATGCTCAGTAGATGGTTGTAACGGCTTTTAAGTCGGCGTCGAAGGGCTACAGGGCCCAGTAGGGTTATCACAAGACTTCATTGCCCTGAGGCTCTTGGGCCCTCAAAACCCCAGGAATTGAGACCCCAAAACCCTCCTTAGGAGGTACCAGTCCCTCTGTAGGAGGGTCCATGGAGCCTTGAGGTGGGCTGAGGTTTTTGAGCTGGTAGGGCTTACAGCCGGCCCAGTCGTTTGGGAAAGGTTTTTGCCCTTCCTGAGCTGGGAAGGATGCTCCTTTGGAGTATGTCCTGAGACCGAAAGGTTTTGAAGGGCCAAAGCAGAATTAAATCCTTAAACCACTATTCCAGTTTTTTTTTTTTTTTTTTTTGGGGGGGGGGGGGGGGGGGGGGAGTTCAGTGCTTTTGCACTGCGGACTCGAGGTCGTGAATCATATCAAGGTGAGACAGCTTAGATTCGTACTAAGCACGGTTAGCAAGCACACAACATCAGTGGTCGAGGACGTGAATTTACCGATCAATGGTTAAGCTTCGCAAGGATAGAGGAGATAGAGTCAATGGTTTCATCAAAGCGTTGAACCCAATCAGCGACAGTGTCTGCATCAAGCAGCACAGCTTTGAAGAAAAACTATTGAAGCATGTCTGGAGCTTTGCAGAAGAAAATTTGACGCTTACAGAAATGACAACGGAAATCCATTGTCCACTCAGAGGAAAGGATGTGTGGAAGGCGTGCATCGTTTAAATGAGCAAGCTCCATAACCCTGAGAAATGTTTTGTGAAGCATTCATATCTCCTCTTGGCCGCAATGAACCTTTTGGAGATGCCACACAATTTGCACCTGATGTCAACAGGATCCATGTTGCACCAAGTTGACAGAGGCAATTGAGAAATGCAAGTAATTTCTTGAAAACTGAATAGGCAAAAGCTTGCAATCCGATACCTGTGTAAGCCAGGTGGGCGGCGCGAACTTGATTGCCATTTATGCGAAATGTTTGCCATTCAGCTGAAAGATCTTTGTCTTGAAGTTGACAGCTTTTGCCAGAAACTGCGTCAAGAAAGGCCTGCGGCAATACGAATGATTTGACAGTTGACACCTTGTTCAATCACAGTTTGCGCTTGCAGAAGAGACAGATTTCTGCAAGTACCTTGCAAATCCCAGGCAGGAACGAAGAAGAGGTTGCTGGGAAATGTGAGATCAAAAGGAAAATTGTCAATCCATTTGTAAGGCTGAGGCTGGAAGTCAAGAAATTCTTGGAGTTGTTCACTGTGCATCCAAGAAAGCTTGAGTAGCTTCATGGATAGCGTGCGAAATTTGTACAAAGCACGTCCAATAAAATCTGCTTGTTGAACAAAATTAGCTTTGTGTCCTCCGGTACGCAGAAAAAGTAAAAATGCTTGCAACCAAGGTGCTTTTGCAGTCCCGACGAAGTATAAAAGTAGGGAACCTACTTGGAAGCTCTTTTGACTTAGTAAGTAGGGTTATAGCATGGCTGTTTATGGTGATGATACTAGGTTTTCTACGGGATGCCAAGTAGACTTACTAAGTCAAAAGAGCCTCTAAGTAGCCACAACCAAGCTGCTCTAAACCCACAGGGTTTAGGGTAGGGCTTCGGGTGTAGGGAAAGAGGCGGTGGGGTTTCGGGTTCTAGGCAGAGTTTTGGGTTGGGGTATGGGGTTTCAGGGCAGTACGAGGAGGGGCCCCTTACTATAGCAGCTATACTTAAGGGACTTCTAACCTAAGTTAGGATCCTTATAACCCAATTTAGGGCTCTTATAGCTCTACTTATAACTAGGGGGGCCCCTCCTTGCACACCCTGAGCCCACGACATCATGAGGTGAGGGCGGCAAGGACATCCGCTACAAGCTGAAGGGCTGCTATGCCAAGGGACAGGACGCCTGAAGCCCCCAACGTCCCCAAACCCGAAGCCTGTCCCCTAAATTCTCTCCTTTACCCCTTTTCAGGTTAGGCCCTAAACTCAGCTGCTGAGTAGGTCGCCTTAGCGCTGTATTTCTTAAACCCCAAACCCAAACCCCCCATTTTTAAGAGCCTCCGGCTCAAGCCGCCGACCCGCTGGAGCATAGTTGAAAGGTTCAAACGCGCTCGTCAGCTCAAAGGATGCCAAAAGTTGATTTGCTTGAGCCTCTGTGAAACGTTGGGGGGGGGTAGGGGGTAGCAACAGGAGCTGAAGCCGGCTTGAAGGAGGGCAGCCCCATGGAAGAGGGGGGGTAGGGGGGGTAGGGGGGGGGTAGGGGTACCCCCCCCCCCCCTTTGGGGGGGTAAGGAGGGAGAGAGGGAGGTTTTCACCTCCTTTTCCCATCCAACACGCCGCCAGGGTCGGCGGACCCCAAACCCCAAACCCTAAACCCCAAACCCAAACCCTAAACCCTAAACCCCTTAAAACCCGGAGGCTGATGTCCACAAAGCCCTCTGCGACCCAAAGCCCATACACACCCTAAACCCTAAACCCTAAACCCTAAACCCTAAACCCTAAACCCCATACACTCTTTAGCCCCTGAAGCCCTCCCATGAGCCCAGAGTTCAAAGGCCTCAAGAGCCCAAACGCCTAGCAGAGTTTAGTTCGGGTTTAGGGTTTAGGATTTAGGGTTTAGGGTTTAGGGGTTAGGGGTTAGGGGTCAGAGGTTAGGGGTTAGGGTTTAGGGTTTACGGTTTTGGGTTTAGGGTTTAGCGTTCCCGGACTAGATTCTTCGTGTCGCGTCAACCCCAAACCCTAAACCCGAAGCCCTACAAAGCCTTCACACTAAACTTCCCCTGAGCCCACAAGCTCCACAAAACCCTACAAGCCCCAAAAACCCAAATAAAGCCCCATAAGTTCCAGCCAGCCAGGGTCAGCCAGCCCAGCTCTCCCAGTTCAAGTCCATGAGAGTGCCCTTGCTGGTCCAAGTGCTGACGAAGTCAAAACCCATGAAACCCTAAACCCTAAACCCTAAAACCCTAAACCCTAAACCCTAAACCCTAAACCCTAAACCCTAAACCCTAAACCCTAAACCCTGCAAATCTTGAAGCTGGAGGGTGAATGCTGAAAGCCCTTGATGGTTTCTGCAACAAGATGCGCAGTTTGCCCCTATAAACCCCAGATACCCTACCATCCTTGCAGCTTCTTTAGAGTCTTTCCGAAGCCCTAAACCCTGAGCCCTAAACCCTAAACCCTAAACCCTAAACCCTAAGCCCTTTGGGATCTCTAGAAAAGACGTAGATGAGATGCCCTCGTCTGTGAGGAGCGTACCGAGGGCTGCCATCCGACCTGCGCGACCTGCGCCTTCACCGGCTTGGGACTTCGGGGTTTTTAGGGTTTAGGGTTTAGGGTTTAGGGTTTAGGGTTTAGGGTTTAGGGTTTAGGGTTTAGGGCTTCCTTGTGGGCATGTAGCAACCTGGCGATTCTCGGCGAACCCCTAAACCCGCTAAAGGGGAGGGCCAACGCAAGATTGAGGGTTCGAAGCCCAAAGCCACAAGCCTCGACCCTCCAACACTCAACACGGGTTTAGGGTTTAGGGCTTAGGGTTCGCGCATTTTCTCCAGCCCCTAAACCCTGAATCTTCACGCTTTCGTTGCCCAAAACCCTCTTGGGACACTCCAAACCCTTAAGCCCTAACCCCTGAACCTTGAACCCTGAGCCCCTAACCCTACCGAACCCTCTTCTAAAAGGGTACAATAAGTAGAACACCCTAAACCTAAACCCTAAACCGTGGGTTGAGGGCCTTGAGGGTTAGGGTCTAGGGTCGGAACCCTCACGGGGGTGATCTACGTTCCTAGATGGGGAGAGGCTAGGGTGCTGCATTGTCCTGAACCCGAACAGAACATGTGGCAGGGTTCAGGGTTTAGGGTTGGCCCCAAACCCAAACACCCCAAAGGCTTGTAGGGTGCAAAACAGAGGCACTGGCCCAGCGAAAAATCAGTGTGCTTCGTGCACCGGCAAGCGTGCCCTGGCTTCAGATTTGGGGGGGGAGATTAAGATTCTTTCTGAATGCTATGACTTTTTTATATCAGGGTTGTTTGGTTTGCTAAGGCGTGCTCACTGTTTTGTTTTGCAGGGTTGCTTGCAAGCTCTGAGTGTTTTTTTGTTTTCCCGGTGGGGGGGGGGTTGAGGGTTGTTCGAGTTCTGATTCAAGAGTGTTTTTTTCCAGAGGCTTTAGGGGCTTCCCCGGTTTCGGGTTTTGGTTAGAGAGTTTCTAGGACCCGCAGCAGTACCCATTTCCCCGTCCTGTAGGGGTTAGGTGCCAAACTTGCAAACCCCACCATACCAAAAACTGGGTGTAGGGTCTAGGGTTTAGGGGTTTAGGGTTTGGGGTTTAGGGTTTAGGGTTTAGGGTTATTAAGTTAAGGAACTCGATTTTGCTGGGGCCACCTTAATCACTTGCATTGGTCAGTGCTCTAAATGATGGTCCCTTTTTCGGTTCCGCCTAATTTCTTCATACTGAAAGCTTGAATGTGTTTCTCTGAGCCCGAAACACTAAACCGTTGCCCCATGAAGTTCCAAACAGCAGGCCAAGCAAACAGTCTGTCCTTTTTTCTGGGTTGCAGTGGAAGGTTCAGAGCAGTAGCTTTCGGATTTCAGCTATTTCAAGCAATACTGCTAAACGCTACACCCTACACCTTAAACCTTCATGGCGACAGGCTGCTCCGCCCGCACATGAGGATTTCAGCGCCTTAGAAGTCTTAACGCTCTAGCTGCCCCTAAACCCGTTAAGCCCAGAAAGCCCAGACCCTACTTAGTACTTAGACTCTGACATCATCGAATATCAATTGGGGGTGTCTAAAACAGACATCCCTTCGGCGTTTCCTATCAGATTTTAAAGCCTGATAGGTAGGATACCCGGGGACCTCCCCCCCTCCCCTCCCCGCCCTGCCCCCCCCCCCCCCCCCCCCCCCCCCCCCCCCCAAAAGGGCCAAGAATTTCGCCCTAAACCCTAAACCCTATCCCCCCCCTAAACCCTAAACACATGCAAGCCTCAGCCATCGATTTACAGGTGTCACTCCCACCCCAAAAATGAAGGAAGTACAGCCGTTTCTGAGGCTTCCTGGCAGTGTCCACCTGCGTGCAGCTCGGCAAACTAAAAGTGGAGCCTGAAAGAGGGTTCAGGGTTCAGGGTTTAGGGTTTAAGGTTTTTGGTTTAAGGAGGGTTAGGGTTGTTTTACAATGTAACGTGTGTTGGGTGGAATGAGTTGAACGGTAGCTTTTGGTTGGGAGCCCTTGTTCCCGCTTGTAGGTCCCCTGAGGGCGCCCTTTCTATTCTTGGGGTGTAGGGTTTAGGGTTTAGGGTTTAGGGTTTAGGGTTTAGGGTTCAGGGTTTAGGGTTTAGGGTTTAGGGTTTAGGGTTTAGGGTTTGAGGGGGCTTATGAGGGGGCATACCGGTTTGTGAGGCTTTCTTAGGGCCCACCATTTCGGTAAGGCTGTTGCTATCTTCGCTGGCGCATACCTCAACTCTAAACCTTTAACCGCCGCATCACACCCTTGGCTTGGAGGACTCTTGTTTCGGGGCCTCTTTTTGGCCCCAAGACCATACCATGTTGGGATGTTCCCCATTTTACTAACAGTCCTTTATAGGGATTCTAGTAACACCGCTTATAATCCCTATGAAGGACTGTTAGTATACGGGTGAACATCCGAAATACCATGTGTAGAAGGTTCTTGGGCTCTTCTGTGCCGAAGGGGTTACACCTTCTAAGCCCTCCAAAAGCTTCCAAGCCCACAACAGCCAAGACCCTGAACCCTTAACTCAAGGCGACCCTAAACCACCAGACATGCTATTTTTAAGCTCTTTTGACTTTGTAGTCTACTTAGTATCCCTTACAAACCCTATTATGTTGCCCCATAGCCCACTTTACAAACGCGCCTTAGAGCGGGGATAAAATCCGCTCGTCCTAAGCTTAGAGCAGCCCTGAAACCAGAACCCTAAACCCAAACCCTATAAACCCTAAACCCTATAAACCCCAACCCCTAAATCCAGGACCGAGTGTCCTTCTGGTCGATTTCCGATCGAAGACCCGGACAACGGGAACAAGTGCGTGGACAGCACCACGACGCCAGTTCCCAAGGCCCGGATGTTAGTGTTTTTCGGGGTTTTAGTTTTTGGGCGTAGGGCTTGGGGCTCTTAGGGCTTAGGGCATAGGGCCTAAGCAGGGCCTGGGGCCTAGGGCCTAGGAGTCCTGAACCACAAACAGTCTCCCGACAACTCACCAAACCCGAAACTGCAACAACCCACGATTTCTTCCACCATCCATCAGCCAGCCTCCCACAGAGAGGGCTTCCGCTTTCTCAAGGGATTAAGACTCGTTCCCCTAAGGTTCTACGCCGAAAGGTTGCCCTTAGTATACTCCTATTATGGCCCTTATACTACCTTAAGGATCTTGAAAACGGGTCCCCGAAGCGCAAGGGTAGAAGGTACAACCCCTAGACTGTCTATGATAAATTCCTAAACCCTAAACCCTAAGCCCCTTTCATACCAAAAAGGGTACCCTTTTTCACGAGGAGTTCAAGCCTCAGTCAGTGCTGCTTCCACCATCCCACCCTCCACCCACAGAGACTAGGGCCCTGAGTGGGCCCTTATTCACCTCTTTTAGGCTTTAACCTGTTCCCTGAAACCCTAGAACCCTAGAACCCTAGAACCCTAAACCTTAAATCCTAAACCCTAAACCCTGTAGGTTCCCTGACAAGCCCCGTTTATCCCAAAACGGGTATCCCTTCCATGAGGCGTTCAAGCCTCAGTCAGAGTCACACAGTGCTTGCAACCACTCAGGGCCCCCTCGACACTAAACCCTAAACCCTTAACCCTAAACCTTAAACCCTAAACCCTAAACCCTAAACTAAACCCTAAACCCTAAACCCTAAACCTCAAACCCTAAACCCCACCCTGTGAGGAGGAAGAGCTCGACTGGATTGTCAAGCACAACATCAACTGGACCATTCACCAAGGATCTTCTGCGGCCTTGTGCTTTGGGATTTAGGGGTTTAGGGTTTAGGGGTTCAGGGATTCAGGGGTTCAGGGGTTTAAGGTTTGGGTGTTGGTGTTCTAGGGGTTTAGGTTTAGGGGTTTCGGGGTTTAGGGGTTTAGGGGGTTCAGGGGTTTAAAGGTTTAGGGGTTCAGGGGTTTTGGGGTTTATGGTACAGGGCTTTAGATCTGCACTGTAAGCCCTAAGAACCTAAACCCTTAATTCACCTCAACCTCTCAACCCTCTGAGCCTAGAGTTCCTGAACCCCTCAAATCCAGAACATGTCGGGAGCAGAACTCCCCCCCCCCCCCACACACCGCCCTCCCCACGTCTCATGGACCTTTGACCCTCTCCGTGCTTGTGGCCTTAGGGCTCAGGGTTGCAGGTTTTGGAGATTAGCATTTGGGTTTGGTGTTCTGGGCTTCTGGCATTCTGTTGGCCCTGACTTAAACAGCACATCCTAAACTCTGAGCCCTAAAATGCTGTACCTTAAGCCCTGAGCCCAAAACCTGCACCCCGTAAAAGTGACCCCCTAAACCCTAAACCCTAAACCCTAAACCCTAAACCCTAAACCCTAAACCCTAAACCCTAAACCCTAAACCCTAAACCCTAAACCCTAAACCCTAAACCCTTCAGTTCTTAACCCGACAGGCCAGAGTTGCAGCGTGGACCTTGCAATTGGCAGCAGCTCGGTCAAACATGAATGCTCAGCTCCCAAAAAGGCCTACATTGGTGTAGGGTTTAGGGTTTAGGATTTTGGGTTCAGGGTTTCGGGTTTGGGGTCTCGGATGTGTCCCTTATACACAGTCCTTCATCGAGATTATAGTACCCCCCCCCCCCACCCCCCGCCTATTATAATCCCTATTCAGGACTGTTCGTATAAGGGGGAACATCCCAGTTTGGGGCCCTTTAAACCCAACCCCTAAACCCTCAACTACTGAACTCCCGAAATTTCTGAACCCTAGGCCCTTTTCCTAAGTGGGCTTGAGGAAACTTAGTTCGCACCCCGAAGCTGCAGTAGGTTTGGGGTTTAGGGTTAGGGTTCAGGGTTCAGGGTTCAGGGTTAGTAGGTTAGTAGGTTAGTAGGTTAGTAGGTTAGTAGGTTTAGGGTTTAGGGTTTAGGGTTTAGGGGTTAGGAAATCAGAGCTTTAGGGCCGTTGGATCCGTCAGGGGCCCTCAACCTTCAACCCAAGTTCCCCCAGCAAGAAAATGAACGTTTGAGGGTTTAGGGTTTATGATTTAGGTTTGGGGTTTAGGGCTCTAAGTTCAGGGTTTCGGGCTGACGGATTGGGGTTTAGGGCTCTAAGTTCAGGGTTTCGGGCTGACGGATAAACAGCCAATAACAGCCCTAGATGCTCAACCATGCATGGGGCTCGATCTAAACAGCGGAAGCTTCTGGGCTCCCCAAACTATACTGGGCATACAACGAAGCGAAGATGTGTCCGTAGTTGACATAGGCCCCGATCTGGGTTCAGGGTCTAAACCCCCTTCGCCCTCAAACCCTAAACCCCAGTAGCCCTAAACCCTAAACCCTAAACCCCAGTAGCCCTAAACCCTAAACCCTGAACCCATGTGGGTGCAGAGCTTCGGGTGTTTGTGGGTAGCTCTGTTTTTTATTACATCGGGAAATTACCAGGCGACCGCAGTGGCACCTCCAGCGACGCCTGCACACGGCTCTGCGCTCTCAACAGCAGCTGGGCGGTGAATTTCAGGATGAAGGGGTTTGGGGCTGTAGGGGTTCAATACTTCGGGTTTAAGGGGGATAGGGTTTAAGGATCTGGGGTTTTAGGGTTTGGGGCAGAGAGTGCAAGTGGTTTGTTTTCAATATATGGCATGGTTTGTTCTCAATATATGGGATCTGGCCATTTGGGGGTACCCCAAGATGTAGGCGGCGGTACTCCAACAAAGGACGATAAACAAGTTCAGGGTTTATGGTCGAGATTGTCTTCGGTTTGGGGTTTGGTCGGGTTCAGGGTTGGCAGAAGTAAGGGAGGTCCCACATTCCCAGCATGGATTTGTCGGTTTAGTCCTGAGGCTTTAGCGCCCCTCAATATTCATTAAGGAAATAGGGGACCCCAGAATATAGATCCCCAAATAGTAGGATTGCGGTTGTAAGGGGCCAACCTGGACAGGACATTTATACCAGCAAAAGACCGAAACGGCTGTTTAGGGTTTAGGGTTTAGACTTAAGTTGAATCAATATCTAGCTACACATGGTTTTCTTTATGGTGGTGGCAGTAATCAGTAAAAGCGTCTCAGGTCGCTGCGTCGCTGTGTCCACGATCCTCCAGAACACAAAGATCACGAAGCTCGACTGTTTAGGGTTTTGATCCAAAACCCGAAACTCGAAACCCTACTCAAGCCCTGAAACCTGCGAGGGTTGATGCCTCCGGGCCTAGGGCCTTGGGTGCAGGAGCCCAAAAATTCGGGTTCAGGGTTTAGGGTCTAGGTTTTAGGGTATGGGTCATAGGATTCCATACCGCCCGGAACACCCCTAAACGCCAAATCCTACACACACCCTAAACCCCCCTACTTCCCCCCACTGTAGCTCCCCGGGACTCGCGCCTTGGTGAAGTTTGCGCTGTGCCCTTGGGCTATGCGAGGTTTAGGGATTTTGGCTTGGGACCCCTCGTTGCCCTTAGTTCACCCGAGGGAGAAGCCTTTTCCGAAAGGGGAAGGGCGGCGGGGGGGGGGTCTAAACCCTAAACCCCTACACCTGAACCCTAAACCCTAAACCCCTACACCCTAAACCCCCAAACCCTGAGCCCGTAAACCCCCAAACCTTGAAACCTTGGGATGTTCACCCATATAATCACAGTCCTTTGACAGGGATGCCTAAGCCTTGGGAAAAGGAAGAAGGGGCAGAAGACCAGGATTACCCTGATGCCGTGGAGGCAACGGCAGAAGAAATCGCGGCGCAAAATGTGAAGAACGCCTCGAAGGAGAAGCATACAGCGCGGCGCTGTGGTCCTCAGCGATACAAAGTGCCATAGACGAAACCGCCCAGAATCGGGACGAGAGCTTGTGAAGCAAGGCAAACTCAAGGACTTCTGGAGCATGAGCTGGACACAGGCCAGGGGCCAAGTCAGCCAAGAGAACGCCGACGAGTGTCGGCTCGCCTTGGCGAGTTCGGGAGTGGAGATACCGGATGTGACCATGGGTCGTCTGGCGGCCGTTTTCGCGGCTTTCATGGACGGGGGGCCGGAACCCTCGGCAACGACACCATAATCCCTATTAAGGACTGTTAATATAGGGGGGCAACATCCCAGCCTAAACCCTAAACCTCTGGACCCTAAATCAAGCCCAAGCCCCAAACCCTAAACCCCAAGCCCTAAACCTTAAACCCTAAACCCTAAACCCTAAACCTCTGGACCACATTGAGCGGCGCGCATCCCCAAAGTGTAATCCCAACATCTGCCTCGTCTACAATGAATCAGAAACTACCATTTGGCTGAAGAACCCCCCCTCCCCCCAACCAGAAACATATTGCAAAAAGTGATTCCGTATAAGTATAAGGGTGCTTTCCTTATCCGGGTAGTGTGTGGGATTATTCTCTCTTGTTTTTCTATGGCGGGGGGGGGGGGGTTCTTAACCCAATTGTTGGAAGCCTTGCGGTCCACTGAGCCCTGGCCCACAGGTGGCGAGGCACAAGAGGTTTCGGGTTTACAGCAATTTAGGGTTTATTGTTGAGGGCTTGTTTTTTCTATGAGATATAAGGGGGAACCCCTGGAAGGTACCTTTAAACCTCAATCTTATTCCTTCAAGCCATACATACAAAGTCCCCATATGCCTAAGTAGCTCCTACATTACCCGTAAGGTCCTGAACCCTAAACCCTGAACCCAAGACCTTGAACAGTCCCCCCAAAACCCTAATACCCCGCAAGCCCCCCCCCCCCCCCCCAAACCTCGGCGAAGCAGACTACCCTAAACCCTAAACCCTCAACCCGAAACCCTGAACCCTGAACCCTAAACCCGGAACCCTAACCCGAAACCCTAGACCCTAACCAAGGAAGTGCCGGCTCTTCTCCAGCTGCGAGGCCCAAGAAAGCCTGGTTTGCCCATTGGTTCCCCTTTTGCCTTGGGATTTTCTCCTTATGCTACGAGTCCCTTACAGGGATTATCATAGGGTTTAGGGTTTAGGGTTTAGAGTTTAGGGTTTCGGGATTTGCTCCTTATGCTGACAGTCCTTAATAGGGACTATGATCGCGTTTAGGGTTTAGGGTTTGTTGAGGGCTTAGGGTTGGGGTACTAAAATCTCACTAAGGACTGCTAGCATAAGTGTGAACATCCCAACTTGTCCTTCTTTCGTTTGGTTTTGGGTCCCTTTAGAACTAGCAGTCCTTCATAGGGATTATAGTAGCGGTTTGCGGCCAGGGTTTAGGGTTTTGGGTTTTGGGTTTAGGGTTTGGGGTTTGGGGTTTGGGGTTTTTTGGTTTGGGGTTTCGGGAGGGTTTCGGGCTGTTGGGGGCTGTGGGCAGTTTGGTTGGTTACGGATGGTAGGGGGGACTAAGGATCCTAAGCGCTGGACATGAATCCAGGTATCGAAGACCCACGGCAGTCTTCGATGCAAACGGCACACGGTTTCCCGAAACCTCCCTGGCTATGAGGGTTTAGGTCATTCTTTCTCAGGGAAACCCTAGGCCCTGGTCGCAGGATCTGCAAGAAGAGGACGACGCGAACACCTACGCGAAGGCTCGGCGCGTCGCTGTTCAGCCTATGTGAGAGGGTTTTGGATTCAGGGTGTAGAGTCTAGGGAGTCTAGGGACAGGGATACTTGGGAGGCCCTGATGATTTAGTCAGTGGGGTTATGGGGATTATACACTAGGGGTTGTAGGAGTTGTAGGGGATACTAAGTAGGCTTACTAAGTCAAAAGAGTTCTCAGTAAGGTTTACGGCTTGCTCCTTCGAGAGCCCTCGATATGGGATCCAAGCGAATCATCTGGATCATGTACGATCATTTGGGGGGGGGGGGGGGGGGGTTCATCTCCCTGGTATACCCAGCCCCCAAAAAAGAGATGGCCCTAAACCCTAAACCCGAAACCCGAAACCCGAAACCCTATGCAAGCCTCCAAAACGTGTGCCTCTTAGGTCTTCCCAGCTTGTCCAGGGCTTGCAAGACAACTCTAAGCAGGGCCTATGAACCCCTAAACCCTAAGCCCTAAACTCTAAACCCTAAACCCTAAACCCTAAACCCTAGACCCTAAACCCTAGACCCTAGACCCTAAACCCTAAACCCTAAACCCTAAACCCTAAACCCTAAACCCTAAACCCTTAGCCTTTCAACAAGCTAGCTGTTAGGGCTCACATAAGGCCCTCCCACAACCCTAATCTATGCGTTTGCTGTTTAAGTAGGGGTTTGGGGTTTATAAACAGCCCCCACCCTAGCCTCAGTACCCTCAACTACCCCTATAGCTGACCAAATCCCTCAAACTTGGAAACTCCCACAGCCCTAACAGCTCACTGGGCGCGCAGGTCACTACCACAACCACCACTACGGCACCACGTTTCAAGCGACCCGGCGCAGGGGCGGCTCAAAGTACCCCACAAGATCTGTAACCCTGAGCCCTATAAGCCCTCAACCCTAGACCCCTAAACCCTAAACCCTAAACCCCTAAACCCTAACCCCTAAACTCTAAACCCTAAACCCTGCTGTAGTCGATCGGGCTCAAACTCCCTAAGGTCAGAGTCCTCAGAGCCTTGGCGCTTAGGAAATTCGGGTGTCGCGGCTCAGACTCTAGGCTTTTGAGTGCATCAGGGTCCTATGAACAACATGAGTTCTAAACCCTGTCAAGACCTGTACACCCTAAACTCATCTAAACCCCAAGTCCTAAACCCTCAAGACCTCATAAGTAGTTCTCAAGGCCTCCTAAACCCTCAAGACCTGTTCAGGGGTTTGGAATTGAGGGAGTAAGCCCCGAGCAAGCCCCGAGCCCTAAGATTTTGCCACCGCACCTATCAGACCCGTCTTTGGCTTTGGGGTCGGTGTTCAGAGTTCATAGGCTTCAGGGCTGCTAGGGATCCTAGTCTAAGTTTACAATTATCAGTACCCATGAACCTCCTAGTATCCCAAACCCTGTCAACCCCCCAAAAAAAGCAACCTATAGATGGTACAGCCCTTGCCCAAAATGCCGAACCTGGCAGCCCAAGCCCTAAACCAATGTAATCCGTAAACCCTCAACCCTCAACCCTCGAATCCCGGAACCCCTAAACCAACGTAATCCATAAACCCTTAAACCCACACGGCCTTTGGCAGACACACGTGCTGAAGGCCTACGAGCAGTTCTGAAACAGCAGATAAGTTTGCAACAAACAGGCCAAGAGGCAATGCTGACCTTACGGCCACTACCGATACAAGGGACAAGGCAGTGTTCCTCATCTCTGCCACTTACAATGAGAGGCTGTTCTACGACGAAGCCGTCAAGTCGGGCTCCCCTGACTTCATTGCAGCATTGCAGCAGCCTGCAGCCTGCGACAAGCAGTCTGCCCAAGGGCAGAGGAGCAAACCGCTCATAGCAACTACCTCCTGAGAGTTGCGAAGGTGTCTAACCCTGAGCAATATGAGGATGATGTCGCACAAGCCCCTAAACCCCAAACCCTAAACTCTAAACCCTAAGCCCTAAACTCTAAACCCTAAACCCTAAACCCTAAACCCTAAAAGACAATCCATAAACCCCAGAAGCCTTACGAACCCAATCTGCCTTTCAGCTCTGCTAGCCTGCGAGCCCCTGCAACCCCATCAACCTGAAGAGCTGAAGTCCTGTTTACCTTTAGAAGCCCTAAAAGCAGCAAACCCTAAACCCGAAAAACCCGAAGACCTAAGTTGATGTATAGGAATAGTAAGCAACACGAGCAATACAAAATATGAGCTGAAGTCCCCCCGAGGTGGCTGGAAGTCGGCCCGGGCAAATGCACGGACTCCTCCGGGCGCTCGATCAAGGCTAGGGTCTGGGGCTGTTTAGGGTTTAGGGTTTAGGGTTTAGGGTTTAGGGTTTAGGGTTTAGGGTTTAGGGTTTAGGGTGTAGGGTGTAGGGTGTAGGGTGTAGGGTGTAGGGTTTAAGGTTTTTCAGAGTTTTGGGTTTTGGGTTTAGGGCAATTGCATGGTCCCTTATTATGGTCCCTCCCTCTTTAAAGGGTTTTGAAGTATGGGACGCCTGGTGTTATAGGGTATGTAAGGGGTATTTCAGGGCTCCCGATAAACCCTAGACCCTAAACCCTCAAAGCCCTAAACCCCTAAACCCTCAACCCTAAACCCCTAAACCCTCAACCTAAACCCTCAACCCTCAAAGCCCTAAACGCTCAAAACTATCAAATCCTTGCGCAGGCCGCTCTCCCAAGCAAAGCTGTGGCACAGCGGGCCGCCGCCAGCACGACCACGACTACAGCAGCTGGCCTCCACCACCCTAAGCCCTAAACCCTAAACCCTAAACCCTAAACCCTAAACCCTAAGCCCTAAGCCCTAAGCCCTAAGCCCTAAGCCCTAAGCCCTAAACCCTAGCCCTAAACCCTAAAACCCTACTTGACCTCAAACCCTCATACGGAAGTTAGGGTTGACTTAGTGTCTAGGGGGTTCAGGGCTTAGGCCAAATTCGGGTTTCGGGCATAGTTTCGGGTTTGGGGTAGGGACACTCGAGCCCCAATTAGTGTTTAGGGTTTAGATTGCTTAAGGGTACGCACGACAACAACACCTCTGAAGCTCCAGTATGCCATCAAGTACACCACGTTCGACCCGCCGCTGCCCTCCGCTGAAGCTCAGGGGGCTCCGAAGTCGAAGTAGCGAGACCTGTTGTTGCTACAAGGACGGGGCATGTCCCATTCTTTGCTTTGCTCCCATGCTCAGCTGACCTATTCCGGGTCGAGGGCCCCCAAATTCACCATCCAAAGTTGCTGACGAAGCAAGGTTTTGGGGTTTACGGTGCTTTCATTGCGCCGACGCCCGAGGTTGCCTTGAATGCGCGCGAGAACGATGCGGCGAAGCTGTCCCTGCTGAAGCCTACTCGGGCCTTCCGCATTTGGCGGACAAGCAAAGGCGCGGAGGGATGATCATCAAGCTCGAGTTCACTGCCGAGAAGGCCAAGGTGGACCAGTTGACTCCGCCGCGAAGCATACCCCATGTGGCAGTCACGTCGTGCATATTTGGGAGCCCTGCTGTACGCGGCCCTATCATGAACTTTTCGATGAAGTTTAGTTTTCTCGTTGAGGGTTTCGGGTTCAGGGGAGGGGTTGACAGGTTCTCCCCTTAAGCCTTATATAAGCTTCAAACCGCATCGCGTCGAGGGGGCGTTTCGGGGCTACAGGGTTTATAGGTCCTTATAGAACTTACTAAGGTTCATAAGAGGGTTTATGGGCCTTTTTTTGGCGGATTTGTAACTTAGTTGCTGAGTGCCCTAAGGCTCTTGGGCCCTCAAAACCCCAGGAATTGAGACCCCAGAACCCTCCTTAGGAGGTACCAGTCCCTCCGTAGGAGGGTCCGTGGAGCCTTAAGGTGAGTACACTTTACACTTTTTGGGATACTCTAACCGCCTAAAGAACTGAAAGTGTACACCTTTTTGGAGGGCTTTATGAACTCAGCAACTAAGGTAAGGTTCAGAGGAGTCCTTGTAGGGCCTGTGCGGTTCATAGGGTTCGGGTCTTCTACTTGCGCCGCCTTGAAATCATGAAATCCAAGGGTTTAGGGTTTAGGATTCAGGGTTTAAGGTTTAGGGTTTAAGGTTTAGGGTTTAGGGTTTAAGCTTGGGCCGCACTTCTTCTCCCCTACAGAACTTGCAGAACTCAATCCACCCCTGCTGCCCTTATGGGTAGCGTCCCTTTTGGGGTCCCGTCACGAATTAGTAGTACGCAACCCTGAGAATAAGGAACCAACGATGGACCCTAACTTAGATAACTATCCAGCCTTAAACCCTTAAACCCTTAAACCCTTAAACCCTTAGACCCTTAAACCCTTAGACCCTTAGACCCTTAGACCCTTAAACCCTTAGACCCTTAGACCCTTAGACCCTTAGACCCTTAGACCCTTAGACCCTTAGACCCTTAGACCCTTAGACCCTTAGACCCTTAGACCCTTAGACCCTTAGACCCTTAGACCCTAAACTTAAGATGATCTGTCCCTGATAAGACTGGGCTTTGCTCGGTTTAGGGTTTAGGGTTTAGGGTTTAGGGTTTAGGGTTTAGGGTTGGAAACAATAAATATTCGGTTGTTTTTCAGATTTTTCAGATTGGGCGCCGGGCCAGATTCAAATAATTTTCAGAAACAAAAATCAATCGCTGATTTTGCTCTTACATTTGCCTCTGAGGTGCTTGGCTGCATTTCTTGGTGCTTCTTCTGTGGTTTTTGGCTGCTTTTGATTTTTTCTGAATGTTTCTGATTTTTCTGAATTTTCTTTGATTGTTTTCGGTTTTTGTTTTCTGGTTTTCTTTGTGGCTTGAATGTCCGCGGAAGCGAAGTTTATTTGAGTTTTTCTGTTTTTTAGTCTTTCGTGGTTTCCCAAGCTTAACAGAGCACAGATTATCTCAACCCTAAACCCTAAGCCAGAAAATGGGAAACCCTAAACCCAAAAAGCCAGCAGAACTCTGCTCTGTTCAGGTTTCTTCGGGTTTTTGGGGGCATTTTATGCTCTGTGGTGCTTTACTGTGACTTTAGATCCTTAGCCTTTTTGGGTTTATTGAGTTTCTTAACAAGGCAGCTAGAAGTTTAATTTATAACTCTAAACCCTAAACCCTAAACCCTACTAAGTGCAGCCAAGTAGGGTTCCTCCAACACAACCGACTCCACGCTCGAGCGCCACAAGCTTGAGAGCTCCTAGACCATCTGAGCCCAAAGAAGGGGTTTAGGGTTTAGGGTTTAGGGTTTAGGGTTTAGGGTTTAGGGTTTAGGGTTTAGGGTTTAGGGTTTAGGGTTTAGGGTTGAAACGCCCCAAGCGCCCAGTTCCCTCTTGTAAACGCAAAGTGTGATAACCCTCAACCCCACGCCGTGTTGCTAGGGTTTAAACACTGAAGGCCTAAACCCCGAAGCCCCTAAACCTTAACCCTAAACCCTCAACCCTAAGCCCTAAATCCTAAACCCTAAACCCGAAGCCTAAACCCTAAACCCTAAACCCTAAACCCTCAACCCTAAACCCTAAACCCTAAACCCTAAACCTCCTTGCTCAGGCCGCACCTGAGTGGCAGTATCTGGCCAACAGCTACGGAACCTTGGTAGCCCCGTGGTACCCTTTTCCCTGCTTCTTGTTGGTTCTGGTTCCCTTATAAAGTCACCAACCCAACAGAAAAAAGGGTTTAGGGTTTAGGGTTTAGGGTTTAGGGTTTAGGGTTTAGGGTTTAGGGTGCCCTTGTTACAATATGGTTACCTGGGCTGCTAAGGAACCGACCTTCTCGCGCTGCTGAAGGGCCCCAAAACCAGCCGCTGGGGGCGAAACTTTCGGGTTTGGGGGTTCAGGGTTCAGGGTTCAGGGTTCAGGGTTTAGGGTTTAGGGTTTAGGGCTAAGAAAACCCCTGAACCGTGGAGCTCTTCAGGGTTCTAAACCCTACGCCCTAAACTCCCACTTCCGGCAGCCTCCTTTGCGTGAGCCGTGTTTCATCCAGCATTGAGTACATGCGAAAGCTTGCTACTCTGCCCAAGGGGTTAGGGTTTAGGGCTAGTCAGCCCGAAGGTTCAGGGTTTAGGGTTTGGGGTTTAGGGTTTAGGGTTTAGGGTTTAGGGTTTAGGGCTTTTTCGGGGTTTTCGGGGCCTGGGCCTCTATAGCATGAGCTTCGCGTGTTACGCGAAGGCCACGATTGGCGCCAGGGCCTGCGAGCACTTGTCCTAACCCGCCCCCCCCTAAACCCGAAACCCTAAACCCTAAACCCTAAACCCTAAACCCTAAACCGATCCTCAAAACTTGAGAGCCCGAAGGCCCTGTAGCAACCCTAAGCCGGAACCCTAAACCCGAAACCCCTAAACCCTAAGCCCGAAGCCCTCACACCGCCCTAAGGCCTAAGCCCTACGCCCTAATCCCTCAACCACCCTAAGCCCCACAACGCCCCCCAAACGCCTGGGCACGGATTTTCAGGCTATGTTGGCCTCATGGTTTCCCATGCCCAAGCCGTGTCCTTTTGGGTCCCATAAGGGTGACCTTGTAAGGAAGTTTTTTTTGGGGGTACTTGAGCCCATAGTAGCCTAGGATACCTCAAGAGTCACGAGTCTACTTGCCTGTCTGTTTTTTTCTCTGGTAGGTTCTGGTCACCAACCCCCATGCGAAGGAGGTTTTGGGTTTCTTAGGGCAGGGAATCTTCAGGTTCATACGGTAGATAGGATTAGGGGTTGAGGCTGTCAGGGCTCCGCGCACCTGAGAAGCGCACGAAGAGGTCAGCTAATCCTAAACCTTAAGCCCGAAGCCCCGAATCCTAAAACCCCTAAACCCGAAAAACCCTATATTTCCCTTGTAAACCGTAAACCCTACACACTTCCTAAACCGCACAAGCCCTACACCCCACAGCTCATAAACCCTATAAGCCCTATGAACCTTGTAAACCCCCTCCCCTAGCACCCCAACAGGCCCATGAACCCTGGACCCTATACACCCTTTAGAAGCCCACAGCCGATAGACCCTGTAAGCCCGAAAGTCTGCGCAGTCGCCCCTAAACCCTAAACCCTAAACCCTAAACCCTAAACCCTAAACCCTAAACCCTAAACCCTAAACCCTAAACCCTAAACCCTAAACCCTAAACCCTAAACCCTAAACCCTAAACCCTAAACCAGACTTCTGTCTTTGTTTGGCGGGTTTGGAGGCAGGGTTGGATTTTGAGATGAAATCAGAGGGAGATTCCAGGTGTGCCCTTCTTGAGTCTTAAGAGCCCTAAACCGTAAGCCCCCTAACTAAACCCCAAAACCCTAAACCCTAAACCCTGAACCCTAAACCCTAAACCCTAAACCCTAAGCCCTAAACCCTAAACCCTAAACCCTACTTACTGAAACAGCCTAGGCAGCGGAAAGACTGAGATCTCCATCCTCAGCGCCAACTCCTACTACATGGAGGAGATGTGGCGGGGAGTGGTGCTGGATTCAGGGGTTCAGGCCCTGCGTGGGATTGTGGGTTTAGGGTTCAGGGTTCAGGGTTTAGGGTTTAGGGTTTAGGGTTTAGGGTTTAGGGTCAGGGTTCAGGGTTTAGGGTTTAGGGTGTTGGGCTTAGGGAACCTGCACCCTAGCATGAAACCCATCCAAAACTGGAAGACTCGCCTAGGCTTGTTGTTTACAATTCAGGCTTCGCACCTTCTGCAAGAGCAGCAGGCGCCAGAAGCAGGTCTAAGCCTTGAGTTTAGGGTTTGGGGTTTCGGGTTTAGGGTTTAGGCTTTGGGCCATTGCCTTTGATGAGCAACAGAAGTTATCTCCAGCCAAAGCCCTGTCTGGCAAAGCCCGAAACCCTGTACATGCTCCGCCCAGGCATACCTGAACTTGATAAAGCCCATTCAACAAGGGCCTAAACCACAAAGCAGAAACCCTAAACCCCTTGTCGCGTTTAGGGTTTATGAACCGTCCAAGAGTCCATAGCGGAAAATCTTTGGCCCCGATTGCAATCCTCCCACTCTCCTCGGCCGGTTGCAGTCCCCTAAACGCCCTAAACCCTCTTTCCCTAAACCCTAAAACCCTGAAACCCTAAACCCTACAGCCCTTCGCGCGAGGAGATAGCGCACTACGCCACTGCGCTTCCCTACACTGGCAGCCCTTGGTGGCAGTTCGGTGTGAAGGGCAATGGCGACCTCGTGGCAATACAGACGGGGCCCAGGAGACGCAGGGTTTGGGTTTAGGGTTTGGGGTTTAGGGTTTAGAGGTTCAGGGTTTGGGGTTCGGGGTTCAGGGTTTAGGGCTTAGGGTTTAGGGTATAATTCGTTTTTCTTGGACTTTTGGGGGTTTTGAAAAGCCTGCATCGGATTTGTAGGGTTTTAGGCTTGGTTTCCAGGGTGTTTGGCATTGACAGGTTGAGAGGGCTTAGAGGCTTTGTAGGAACCCGAAACCCCAAACCCGAAACCCGAATTAAACCCTAACCCCTAGACCCTAGATTCTGTAGGGCATATGGTGCTTGATGGGTTTCTATTGCAGGGTGCTATTGTTTTTTCGAGGTTTAGGGCTTAGGGCTCACCACCTTCATGTTGAGCTGGGTTTAAGGTGAGTTTAGGGTTGAGGGTTTAGCGTTTAGGGTTTTTTTAGTGTTTAGGGTTTAGGGCTGCGCCGTTCACGAGTTTTGGGAAAGTGTCGGATCTTTCGCGCACAAGTTCGAGAGGTTCTAGAATGTTGCCTTCGTTGCGTAAAGCCCCCCCCCTCAACCCAAAAAGAAGTGCAGAGTCTTTGCAATTAGGGTTTGTTAACTTGCGGATCCCTCAGCGCTCATGAACGCAAGGCCCTAAACCCTCAGCACCTAAAAGATAGTTGTGGGGGCTTAGACCCGAAGCCCCAAACCCCTCAACAAAAACCCAAAGCACCCTGAAACACCAACAAAAACCCTAGGCAGGGCTAGGTTTGAACATATCTTCTTATTGATACCCTTCATCCTTCTAAAACCTAAAAAGGAGCATAATCCTCAAAAAGCCATAAAGATTAGGTTTTTCTAGGACCCCCCAAACCTACCCCCAGTACCTGCCTTAATTAGAGGGTTCTGAAGTATGGGTTTTGTAGGGCATATCAGGGGCATGTAAGGGGTCCCCTCTTAAGGGCGCATACTAAGGGACCATGTAAGTACCCTAACCACATAATCCGTACGAAGCCCCATAAAAGAAATTATGTAATCCTTATAAAGCCATAAAGGGAATATGTCCTTTGAACAAGCCATTATGAAGAGAGAATGATAGGGCCCCCCAAACCTATTGGGGGGTTTAGGGTTTAGGGTTTAGGGTTTAGGGTAAATAGGGTTTAGGGTAAATAGGGTTTAGGGTTTAGGGTTTAGGGAAATAGGGTTTAGGGTAATAGGGTTTAGGGTTTAGGGTTTCGGGTTTAGGGTTTAGTTTAGGGTTTAGGGTTTAGGGTTTCAACTAAGCTGCAACTGCGCAGGACCAAGAGTCGCAAGTCCGAGGTCACCGTGCTCAGCAGGGCCTCCAAGTACCAGCAACTTGGAGAGTTAAACCCCTAAACCCTAAACCCTAAACCCTAAACCCCAAACCCTAAACCCTAATTAAACCCTAAACTCAAAGTGGGTGGAGCTCGGAGCTCGCGGGTCTGATGGTGGGGTGGAGGGGGCCCCTACATCCCAACCCCTCAACAACCCGAAACCTGAGACCCCAAACCCTATACTGGCTCCACCCCCTTTTGAGTTTAGGGTTTAGGGTTGAGGGTTTAGGGTTTGGGGTTTAGGGTTTAGGGTTTAGGGTTTAGGGCTTAGTCATCCTAAATCCCAAAACCCTATGTATACCTGTTATAGTCCCTATATGCCTAAGTAGCCCCCAAATAGCGCCTGAATAACCCCTAAGGTCCCTTATAAGGGTCCCTCACGACAAACCCTAAACCCGAAACACTAAACCCTAAATCCCTAAACCCGAAGCCAATCCCGAGGCCCGAAGCACCCGTCAAGCCCAGGAGAGTCTCTTTGAGGGCGAAAACCCCGATTGGCCTGACGCGGCCAATACACGTCAGGCAGCTTCAACATAATGTGGTCCCGTACTGGGTTCAGGGTTCAGGGTTCAGGTTTTAGGGTTTGGGGTTTAGGAGAAGTTACATGGTCCTGTTTACGTGGTCCCTTGCCCCTTTTTTTCCACGGGACTGAAGTACGGGGTCCTTGAACTTCATGAGCACATACTCGGAATCCCTTCTGACTTAGTAAGTAGGATTAGCAAGGTAGGTTATGAGGATGATAACGGGAGTTCGAGGGGATGCAAAGTAGACTTACTAAGTCAAAAAGAGCTTCTAAGTAAAGGGCAAGCCGGAATTGAGGGCCCCTTAACCCTCAACCCTTAGGCCCTAAGCCCTAAACCCTAAACTGGGGTTTGAGGGTTGAGGGTTCCGTTCGTTGGGGGGGGGGGGGGGTTGAGGGTATTAGCGTTTTAGGGTTTTTGGTTCAGGGTTTTAGGGTTTAGGGCTTGTCGGCTTTTTCAGGTTTAGGGCGCAGGTTTGGAGTTTTAGGGTTGTAGCTTATATATAGCGTGTCGGATTTCGGGCTTTCGGGTTAAGAGGTTTCAGGGCTTGGGGTTTACAGCTCGGGGTTTGGAGGGTTTTGGGTTTGGGGTTTTTGGTTTACAGAGTATAGAAGCTTTGGTGGTGGCTTTGGGTTTACGGCTTAGGGTGAGGGCTCATGGAATCTGTAGGGTTTTGGCTTTCGGGATTTAGATATTTCAGGGCTTCAGGGGTTTCGGATTTGGCGTTTTAATGAATACTTGCGATATCCCTTCGAGTTATGTTTAGATTCAGGGTCCGGGGAGCACGGTGCTAGGGTTCAGGGGGTTAGGGTTTGGGGATTAGGGTTTTGGGTTCAGGGTTTCCACCAGAGTCATACGAGGCCTTTGTCAACCCTAAACCCTAAACCCTAAACCCTAAACCCTAAACCCTAAACCCTAAACCCTAAACCCTAAACCCTAAACCCTAAACCCTAAACCCTAAACCCTAAACCCTACCCTGACCCCCCCCCCCCCCCACCCACCCTCCGCTGTTGGCAGGTTCCTGGTGAACTGGAGAGGCGATCTCGTTTGCGCCCCTTGGCCTTATTAAGCTCTACAAGCCCTAAACCCCAAACCCCAAACCCTAAACCCTAAACCCTAAACCCTAAACCCTAAACCCTAAACCCTAAACCCTAAACCCTAAACCCCAAACCCTAAACCTTAAACCCTAAACCCCAAACCCTAAAACAGTTGAGTTTAGGATCCACAGCGCGAGAGGGTCGGCTAGGCACCTACAGCCATAAACCCTACTAAACCTCAAAAGCCTCAAATGCTACAAAGGGTTTGGGGGTTTGGGGTTTAGGGTGCAGTGTAGGGTTTGGGGTTTACGATTGAGGCCGAAGCAAACTCGAACCCTCCAAGCCCTACATTCTCCCAAAGGCTCTAAAAACCCTATAGACCCTAGACCCGCAAACCCAAGCCCAAAACCTTCTATACCCTGCCAGCCCTAAATCCTCTAAACCCCTAGAAATTCATAAGTCATACATTCCCCAAGCCCCTATGCATCCGCTAAACCCTAAGCAAGAAACCCTAAACCCTCCAAGCCCAGGCCTATAAAGCCTATTGACCTCTATATGTATGAGGCCCCCCCTCCCCTTCTTCCCGCTGCTCCAGACCCTAAACCTTAAACACACACTAAACCAAATCCCCAAAACCCCACTACCTCCTAAACCCTAAACCCTAAACCCTAAACCCTAAACCCTAAACCCTAAACCCTAAACCCCAAACCCTAAACCCTAAACCCTAAACCCTAAACCCTAAACCCTAAACCCTAAACCCTAGCCCTAAACCCTAAACCCTAAACCCCGAACCCCAGAAAGCCCGCCAGGTCTTCCGCGGCCCAGCCACCGGAAGTGGCAGGACCGAGGTGCACGTGTTGAGCGCCGCTTCGCGCTACCGGCGTTGGGTGCCTTGACTTGGTCCGTGAAGAAAGAAAGGGGTTTAGGGCTTAGGGTTTAGGGTTTAGGGTTTAGGGTTTAGGGTTTAGGGTTTAGGGTTTAGCCGGGGGTGTGGGGTTTAGGGGTTAGGGCTTGGGCTTAGGATTTTGGGGTTTAGGGCAGGTACAGGGTTCTGAGGTTTGGGGTCAGGATGTTCGCAAGAGCAAAGCGGGGTTTGCATAGTTAGGGACCCAACAACAACACATCTACGCAAGGATCCTACTCTTGGGAGTATAAGGGCCCCCGATAGTGGGATTCTGGAAAACCACGTTTGTAGAATCCTATTGTTTATGTGGGTGTTTTCGACCCCTATAAAGGGCTTTATAGAATGGCAGAGGGGAGCCTTAAACCCCACAAAGCTCTTCAGCTGGGCTATGGGTTTAGGGTTAAGGGTTTTCAGGGTTTAGGATTGAGGGATTGGGGTGGTTTTGGGTGTCTAGGGTTTAGGGTTTTGGGTGTTTAGGGCTTGGGGCTCCGGACCGCAGGTTAAAACTTGTTGGGCGTTTGTTTTTTGGTCTAGGGCTTAAGGCTCTTGCAAGGTTGAGGGAGGATTCAGGTTGGGGTCCGGCCGGCATTGACCCTCAGCCCTAAACCCCACACACCAAGTCCAGACTAAATTCCAAGACCCTCAACCCTAACCCTAAAGCCTAAAGCCTAAACCCTACCTAAGCCCCCCTCCCCCCGAAAACTCTCAACTCCCGCAAGTTGGCACTCAACCGTTAGGGGTCAAGATCTTCAAGGTTTGGGACTGTATGTGCTACCAGTCGGGAGTAGCTGTTAAGCATTACGTTCCAAAGCCCTACACCCTGCGCCGTGAGCCCCAAAATCCTAAACCCGAAACCCTAAATCCTAGGTCTGAACCCTAAACCCGAAACCCTAAACCCTATAAACCCCAGCAAGCGGGAGGTCTTGCACTCTGCCAGCCCCCTGCACTATTCCCATGACAACAGGCGGGGGACGGATCTGAACAAGTCCTAAATAGGTTTTAGGGTTTAGGATCTAGGGTTTAGGGTTAAGGGTTGAGGGCTTAGAGTTTTGGAGTTTTAGGGTGTATAGGGTTGAGGGAAGTTAAATGGCAACCCGAAACCCTGAACACTGAGGCTTGTTTAGGGCAGCTTCCAAGACGCATCTAGCCAAAGAGTCCGAAACTTCTCCTGCTTAGAGGGTTGTAGGGTGTACCTGTGCTCGACCGCTTAGCGCGAGTCTCAGGGGGCCGCCGCACCGTCGGTAGAAGTAGTTACATCCTGGTTGCTGAGTGAGTACACTCTACACTTTTTGGGGGTACTCTAACCCCCCTATAGAACTGAAAGTGTACACTTTTGGGGTATTGAACTCAGCAACTAAGTCATGGGTGCTTAACTAAAGTGGAGGATGACGGACTTGCAACTTGGACTCTTCGCTTCCTGGCAAAGGTCCGGAACTTTCGGGGTCCTCCTGGCCCTAAACCACAAGCCGCCATCGAAAACCCTAAACCCTAAACCCTAAACCCTAAACCCTAAACCCTAAACCCTAAACCCTAACCCTAAACCCTAAACCCTAAACCCTAAACCCTAAAGCCTAAACCGTTCTCAGGTTTTAGGGCTGTGTCGGCTCGGCTGCGCCTTTGTTTGTGTTTGCGTTCTGAGCTTGGGGGTTCAAGGCTCAGACCGGTTTAGGGTTTAGGGTTTAGGGTTTGTTGTTTAGGGTTTAGGGTTTAGGGTTTAGGGTTTAGGGTTTAGGGTTTAGGGTTTACGGCTGAGCGTCATAGGGTGCAGGGTGTAGTCTATGACCCTAAGATTCCTTCAGCTCGTAGAATTTCCGTAGGTGCTTTAGGTTTCAGGGTTTAGGTTGTAGGGTTTAGGGTAGGGTTTAGGTTTCAGGGTTTAGGTTGTAGGGTTTCGGGTTCAGGGTTCAGGGAGGTACCCTGCGCGAACGGGAACGGCCGCTGTTGCAAGCCTGAGGCCCAACTCAAAGCCCAGAGCCCGAAGCCCCTTAACCCCTCAACCCTAAACCCCTAAACCCCTAACCCTAAACCCTAAACCCTAAACCCCTAACCCTAAACCCTAAACCCCTAAACCCCTAACCCTAAAGCCTTGGCCCTGATGTTTTCCAATCTAAGTCCCGCATTACGAAGCAGGCCCCGCATGACCTGTTTTCTCATCGTTCTTTGCAAGCT